TTAGGTGACCCCTCAGCAGTGGTGTATTTCGAAACTTAAATGGTTCAAGTTCAGTAAAAACAAAGGAGCATTCACACTCACTAAGATCCACCTCTTCCGAAAAAAGCCAGTAAAAGACAAGTCACAGGAGTCCAAAACACACCCTCATTTCTGGGAAAGCTGCTGGAGTGAGTTTGGTTCATGGTATGTGACGTTGGTAGGATAGTTGAAACTGTCCAGATATAAATGTGTGTGTGTGTGTGTGTGTGTGTGTGTGTGTGTGTGTGTGTGTGTTTGTGTGTATATAGTTCCATTCAGGGTGCAGTCAACTTGAGTTTAGCAGTCTGGTACACAATGAGGATTCACAGCCTCTGGGTATGACGGCTGACTGTGCCAAAGATAGAAGGGGGTGGGGGGGTGGGGGGGTATTTGGGGTGGGGGCATCCTATTTAAAAGTGCACTATCATTGACGCTGTAACAGTGCTGGGATACTGTATCACTCAGGGTGTTCCTTGAGCTAGTCCTCTGGCTTGACAATGATCTGAGAAAAAGTAAACAGACGCTACACAGTGCTGTTATTAAAGCAGCTGAGGCCCGTGGCGCACCCATTACACTAGTCTCCCATGTGGATTAGCAACACACACAAAAAAAAGGCATAAAATACTGTGGATGTCTTTTCAGTTATATTCAGTGTTCTGGTCTCTTTCTAACAAAGCAAAGTCTAGAAAAGGTTTATATGTTGTAACTTACAACTCTGTTCATCATTTAGGACGGCCTCTCTACAATGGTTAGTCAGAAAGTGGTCAAACAACAGTCATCTGCACACGCTAAAGTGCTTTTCAAACAATGAGACTGTTTTAACTTTCCACAAGTTGTCCATCAAGTTTTGCTGCTGTAAAGCAATCCCTGTGAGAGCTTTCAAACCAAATTCTCTGTCAAGGGATTTCACTCAATTAATAGTATGCAATTTTGCAACTTAACATGCACATTTCTGTCTCGAGGCACCAGATAAAGAAAGATATGTATTAGGTTATCTGCAGACACGCCCTCTGAGAGCTCTTCACACTCAGAGAGGAAGATCAAAGTTCAAGGAGCCATTGCTGCTTGTCTATAAAGCTCTGATGGTCTTCTGGGAAAAAACACACAGCATTCCCACAGCTCCGAGAATTTGCCCCGAGGTTAACCAGCCTCAGACACCATGTCAGTGAGAACACAAGCTACAGGACCAAAGTCACCCTCTAACTACCAACCCCAAATTAGATGTTTTCATCTCTGCTACAGCCTAATGTTGGCTTCAGCCAAAGAGCTGTGAAAACAATTCATAGTAACCTGTATTTTCAAATTAGTCACACCTCCCACTTTTCCCCAAACCTGGGCATCAAAGGTTTTCTAGTACATTCTGTGAATACCGGTTCATGTATGGCTGTCTGGCTCATGACAGATGAGGTGCTGACTGAGAGAAGGCCAGGGTGGCACGCTGGCAGACGAAGGCCTTGGAGGCTCAGAGGTAGACCTGAAATAGCCCTGCTGCTGCATTACAACATTACATCACAACTGACTTCACCAACATGGCTGCCGCTGCATCATGCCACCACCACGATGTCATGGGATGGGAACAATTGGACGCAACAGCTGTGAGTCACACAACCAAGCCATCAACAGGGGAAGCACTCTGGTACCGCGCGACAGCCAGTGTACTGTACTTCATAAAATGATAGTCTGTACAAGCAAACAACACACTTCCTGTGTAATTAAAATCAATGACCCACAACCAAATACTCGTTTTGTTTTTTCCCTCCAATGAAAAGGCAGAATGTATCTGCTTGCATTCCTTATCGCATATGCACGACAGACACCAGAGACACAACACAGTTTCTCTTTTCCCACAAATACCACATTATTTGACATGTGAGAAAAATCACAGTTCCCGCTCCCGACAACGTAGTCAAAACTGTAACAACATCAAAGTCACCAAGGTACGAGCTGAGCGAGCCCCAGCGGGGACTAGATCAAACGCTGCCTGTGGGCTCCCTCACCATCAGTCCCCTGTAAAACCATACCTGACATGCTTCTTTAAGCTAATGTCTGCTTGAGCTCAGTTGTGGGAACAGTTACAACCAATACATTTGGCAACAAAGCATGCGCATTGTCTCTAAAGTAGCAGAACAAGTCGGTCAACATGTTTGACCTCTCCAGACACCGCTGCCGTGCCTCACATTAGCAAATCAACCCTCAAGACAAACGTGACTGTGGTAGTTTCCACACATAGCAGATGCTGGCTGTGATGACTGATACATGACAGTCTCCGTAAGATATGTACTTCCGCTCTATAACACTTCAAGTCATTGAGCTTTTGCAAACGCTGTGCAATGTTAACCTCCTAAATCAATCACAGGGAGAGTATGATGACCCACAGAAATATATTTTAAATCCAGCCAAGATCCTAAAGTTTCCAAAGAGACCATACATCTTAAGCTGAATTTTGGCAAAGGGACTATAAAATAAGACACAAAACTTAATGATCCCCTGTGGTGTAATGGTGCAAGGCATAAAAAAATGGTGTCTTGTGTTTTAATATTTGCTCAAAGTAAGATTCATATAGGCTTAGCGAAGAGCTGGAATACGTAGACGATATTAAAAGTAGCTTAAGGGAAAATGATGTGAGAGTTCATGGTCCAGAATGTGAAAATGTGAAATTCTAAATGATAGATACCAATATACTTATACAATACAGTGGACTCCTGGGAAATAAATGTTCTTTTAAAAATTACAGATGAAGGCAGCATGACTTAATAGCAGCTACTACAGTGTGTTATACCTTACGACACTGTATTTAGTATTACTCCTTTAATCAGAACAAAGTTCTACCTGTTCAGTAATGAATGTAAACTTCAGGATTTTCAAGTGAACAAATTTTTCGACTCGTGATACAGATGTGTTTGTTGATGTAACAGCCTGAGGTTATTTAGAGAAGCATGTGCTCTGCACACATGGAACAGTTCAGCCCCGTGACGCTCATTTCATCTGAATGCAGACAGAACTCTGTCCAGACACTGGAGAAAATGACCAACAATCACACAGAGAGTACACCCGTGTTCGGGAAGAAGGCACATTTCACATTTCGGAGGGCTTCTTCCAGGAAATCTATGGCGGCTTTGTATTTGAAGACTGCGTCATTGCATCAGCAGGGCATCAAATCTACAAAGAGCACCCATTCTGGGCTTAACAACTGTGGCCTGCTTGAAGGTACATCATCTTGAAGCAATTAGACCACATATGTAAAATATCACAATGGTGCCATTGCAAAGAGCTGCACGCTTTGAGGTGTATGGAAGGAAATTTGGTGACAAATTCCAGAAAATGAATGTTGATAACATAACCACATAACCAGTGTAAGAACCTACCCTGTAGCTCTTTTGAAGGCAACACCATGAGGCAGTTGCACAGGACTATGCACTTGGCCAGACTGACAGACAGATACCGCGCCATGAGTCATGCAGGCATGACTACAGTGTGGCCCCCTCAGCAGCCCCCTGCAAAACTCACATACCAGCCAGTCAACACAGGCCGGCCTGGATGGTACACCTGCCTCAGCAGAGCTACTCCCAGTTCCCTCCAAGTATCATGTACCCACATGCACCCACATAAACATCCAAACACACATACATACACACACACACACACACATTGGGAATATTCTCTCCGGGGTCCAGTTGGAGTAGATACAGAGGATGAGCATGACTGCCACTATCACACATCAGGGCCCTGCTTTATCGGTGTGATTACATCACCCTGAGCCATGATCCCCCTCCCTCCATGTGATAAGGTTTCAGGAACACTGGGCACACAAACCAGGCCATGTGCTCCTATGTCCTGTCTGCCAAAATAACTCAGCAGTTTCTAATACAGTACGGCTACGGTTTCACTTCAGTCTGCCCAGGTATTGTAGGACACTCTAGCGCGTAACCTTTCCGATGTCAACAAGACTGAAGTTTGTTCATACGTGGGCTGCTCTCCTGGAGCTTTCAACTTCTCATGAGTGACATCAAGACATTCAGGTGGCCTCTCCGCACGTGACGATTTTGTGGAATTTGTGGCCTTTTGTGACTGAGACCATGAGTCACTTTGAGTCACAGAGTGTCAACGCCTCATGAAAGCCACAATCCAGAAGAAAACAAAGGTCTGAGGGAGAAATGACACTTTCGGTTTGAAAGCGGTCAAATGCAGTGAGATGATATGAGAAGCACATGCTGTGTGCTCTGCACTCATGTGGTCATCTGTGTTGTAAAAAAAAATGAAATGTACCATGGTGATTAATTGTCACAGCCACTGGCATAAACATTCACAACTGATGAGGATAATGGTGATGCTGATGATGACCAGGAGGAGGAGGGAGCAGGAAGAAGAGGAGGATGAGGAGGATGACTGAGATCATGGTGTGACTGAAAGCGTGAAATGTTGCAAGACTATTCAGCAGCATAGTCATTTAGGTGCATTCCTTCATCCAAAACTACAATTAGTCAGAGCTGTCCTCCATCAGACCTCTGGCTCTAATTAAAAGTAATCTCTCCTGAATTTGGCCAAGTTTAAGTTTAAAAAAAAAAAAAAGAAAAGTAATTTAGCTTATCAGACTGTGTCTGTTATTGGACACAACGCTCATTTCACACATCATTAATTCCACCTCAACACCCTTTGAATGTGAAGGGTATTTCACACTTTTTAAAAAGGTGATTGGGCCTAAAGGTAGATCCAATTCTGAGCATTTTAAATAGCCCACTTCGACTATGAGAACTCTCCATGCAGCGCAAATGGCACAGCACCCTGTTACCTAAATGATGCTCTGCTGTCTAAGTTCACCCCGCATCTGAACGGCTGCTGTTTCCACCAATTGACCCGTAATTCAGTCGAATAGTATAAGCTCGTTTATCCTCCTCGATCACGACGCGTGAGCGCTTCCCCCGGCTGCCGCCTTCCGTATGGGCGACCACAGGAGACAGTCACGGAATAATGACATAACTTACCCTTATAACAACCAGCTCAGATGATCTCCAGCAGTGAAAAAAAAAAAAAATCCGGTTTCACAGATGTTTTCCCCAAAGCAGCAGATGAGTGATTTGTCACATCATCCTGACAGCGGCGCAGGAATAAACGCGCTTCTTTTTCCACCCCGCAGATGTTTCTAAGCCAAGCCCGGTGCCGTGCTATGAAATCTGGTCACTCTTGAGCACGCGAGCAGCCGAGGCAGTCCAGGATGGTGTGGCCGAAATGTGGCTGCCGTCCGGTTCTCTGCTTCCCACCTACGGACAGAGCATTCCCACACTGCTCCATGGAGCTACCCGGGGTAAGTTTTCCTCTGCCGGTTGTAGCCTAATTCAGTTTGGTGGAGAGTCAGCCCCGCCCTGGACTGGAGACGGTCTGTGGAGAAGGCAAGCCCGTCAAGATCACCAACCAATCGGTACGTACACAGGGAGGCGCTGCTTCTCCCGGTTAACGGCGGTGACTAAGCGATATCCTCAACCAGAGTGGGGTCCGGGGACGGAAACCGGGGTTCACCGCTCTCTGACTACTCCTACAGTGACACATAATGTGAAGCTCTCTGTGGGGAAATGACATGTTCACTGTTAATTTTATAATGTTAATAATAATGGTAATAATAACGATGTAATAATTATGAAATTAAAAATGGAAGGAATACGAGGAAACACAGTTCATTTTACAGTTTACTTCACTGTGAATGATTTTATTTTAACACTGTGTGACACCATAATGTAAAAATCACTGTCAAAGAAAAAAAATACAGGCTATAAATAATTTACCTGTAATGAAGTTGTTTCCATGAGCTTATCAACTTCAACTTGACTATTAGATTTGTAAAAACAAACTAGATTGGTCATATCATCAAATTCTCATGGTTTTAATTTGGTCTCTGCCATCTGCAGCTTGAGTCATGCCTACTACTGTTATCAGCAGGGACATATTTCATTAGTTAATATGGACTGACACTGACCAAAAAAACTGACTTCAAGATTCAGAGGTCACCAGAGCTCTGACAATCCTCCTCCACCCATCTGCATATTCCCACGGAAATAAATTTACTCTGAACTTTACTCCTTAAATTCCAGTCTGGGTTTGTCTGATGACTAATGAGCATCATAATCTGAAATGTCTCAGAATCATATTTCAGCAAGCCATACCTGAGTCTGACGCTGAAATAAATAAGTCTTCATGAGTCAAAGGAGTATTACAAATACGTCACATAAACCATTTTACCATTACCATTTTTCCTTTTTTTTTTTTTTTTCTTTTGGTCATTTTATGGAGAAACCATGTAATGTTGCCACATGATAATCATAACATGGCATGATATTAATGACTTGTAGAGACACCGCCCATGAGCCCTGTGCTCTCACTGCATGTCAGTAGAATTACACTGTCCCTGCTTTTTACTGAGCCAGTGAAGAAACTGATTGTCTATTAACTTTTATATAAAAGCCACCAGTTTTCTTCAAATCAATGAGCAGTCAGTGTTATATAAGTCTGGGGTTTGGGTCTGCTGATGTTAATATGGCTGACTGAGGCCTATTAAACTAATTCCTGAATGCTACACATCTGTTTTCACTGCTGCCTCTTGTTTTGTTTGTTCTGTACACAACAACATAAAAACTACTCATTTTCATTAGAGAAAATGGAGCTCCACTACTGCATCAGGTAATACATGCTGCTGCTCCATCTAATGAAAAGACCATTACTGTGCATTCCTTCATAGTTTCAGTGAAAGCTCAGATCCACCTGGGAGTATTCTCCAGGAGAGAGATGGATGTTAGGAAGCAGAAGGTTTCTGATGTGCTGACAAGGGGCACCGTGTGCGCAGCGTTTTCTCTGATGGGGTCTCAGGGCACAAGAGGCTCAGGTTCCTGGAAAAGTCTCCTTCATGGTTGCTTTGATGTGCTTCTCGATTAAGACACACTCCACTGAGTGTGTCAGCCAGTGCCTTTCTGCTATTATACTGAAGGAAGACATAATATGGTCTCATTTTCATGCTGACAGAGCAGATGATTTGTTTGTGTTTGCAGAACAAGAGATCATACGAGTGGCTGACTGGTAGATCTACAGATCTACTGGAACTACAGGTCAATACAATACATTTGCCAATGGTGGATAAAGGATTTACATCCTTTACTTGAGTGAAAGTAACAATAATATACTATAAAAAATACCCCACTAAAAGTAAAAAAAAAGAATCCAAATTTTACTATCAGAGTAATAAAGTGTTAACAGCGAAATATTCTCTAAGTATCAAAACTAAAATGACTCATTATACAGTTCATTACTCCTCATTATGAGCAGTTTAATCTGTAACAATAATTCATATTTTATGATCTGATCACATGTTTTGTATGTAAAATCTTGATCTGCAAAGTAACTACAGCTGTCAAACAAAGTAGTGAAGTAAAATGGACAATATTTCTATTAATATTTCTCTCTGTAATGTTGTGAAATAGAAGTATAAAGTACAAGTACCTCGAAACTGTGTTTATGCACAATGTAGTAGTAACTGTCCTCCACTGTTTTTGTAATTTTCTGGAGCCCAGCGTGATCAGCAACTTTACATTTGCTGTACGTTTGTTTGCCACAATTTCAACTGGAAAAACTGCAACAAAAAAAAAAAAAAAATCACTGAAGCAGTACTTTTACTTAAGATATATTCAGCTGAAGTCAACAAACTTCCATGCCTATGTTTCTGGCTGCAGGAAATATAATAAATGTCTAAAGTACGTTTTTTTTTAAAAATATTATGAACACCTCCTCCTCAGCTCCTCCACAGCTAAAAGCCAACCGCAGCTTTCCTCCCACGAGAGAAATCTGTTGCAAGAATCATTTTTAACCAATTACTGAGTCAAGACTGAATTTAATCAGTTCAAATGTGGCCAAACTAAAAACATACAGCAGACAGACAGCAGACGGGTCTCACAACTTTAGTCTTTTATGTTAGTTCACAGTATGAAAAGTTAGAGCTTCCTCTCAGCTCGAGCCTCCTCTCTCTGTCCTGCACCCATGGGTCTCGTCCCTGCCAGCATGACTGATAGCCACACAGCAAATCAAGCTGAATCAGAGACATGCTCCTAAATTAGGCAACAGATAGTATTTCCACCACAGGAATGAGTTTATTGGACTTCACATCAACTCTTTTACGTGTACTCGGGTATGTAAAGACTGTTTAGCGGCCTGCCGGGAATCCTTGATTGATACACCATGAAGTCACAGTAATTAATGGTGAGCTTTCCCCTGGGACTGAGGAGGGTTGAAGCTGAGGCAAAGGCAGCAATTAGGAAGCGACGCAGGACCTGTAGGAGCACTCAAGGCTCCCTGATGCCCCATCAATCAGACGCAGATAAAAGGGTTGAGTACAAGGGTAATGTTTAACCGAAAGGACACCGTCAGACGGCCCATAAACGATTTCCTCTTCCTTCAACCAAGCGGAGAAGTGGAGGGGAGAACATCATTTCTGGGTAACAACCACAGAGGTTTTTTTTTTTTTTTTTTTTTTTTTGCTCGTACATGGATGACATGGTTTACCACATCTACAAAAGAGGCCAAACACTGTTTTACAAGCATGTAACTTTCAAGGTGGTTTTCTGGGTTGATTGATTTTGCTACAACAAAAAATGTCAGTGTTTGCTGTTAGTATTAATGGCAGGTGAGAGCTAAAGGAAACACATTTTAATCCACAGTCCCAAAGGCAACCTATGCTCCTCAGAAGGAGGCTGTTAAAGAAATCAAAGATGGCACAAAGAGGATTTCGCTGTGTGGTCGTGTGTTTAGCAGATTTATACTCCCTTGTTTTTGTGATAAAGCCGGTAAAATCCTCTTTCCCTTCCCAGCCTGCCTGACTCAACTGTTGTTCCCTCTGAGAGCTACAGGTGTGAGCTGATACAAGGCAACCTTTATCACAGAGAAAGGTCAGGGGGGAGGTCAGGTCTTAGTGCAGGCTCAATCATTACACCAGACAGCTGGAAGACTGAGTTTTTGTCTTTTAATGAGTTATTAAAACAGCCCTCAAACTGTCATTGACTCTCTCATTTATGCTTTGAAACTTCTCTAATATGTAAAACTACTTTGGGTTTTATTTAGGTTTAAAAAGTAGATCCTGTAGAGTTTTTCCTCAAGTGTCAGAGACCAAACTCTGTGAACCCCACCCGCATCTCTAATTTTCCATAATGCAGAACAAACAGAACAAAAGCATATATGTGGTCTAGATAAACAAAAGGAAAACCTTTGAAATCCCCAGTGGTGTATGCACATACTTACAGTAGCCCCTAACCTGTGTTTACACACCAGTGGTTCTGGTAAAAACTGCGGGCATGAGATCCCAGCTGTGAAAAAAGAAAACCTCGGTTTCTCCAGGAGCATGGTCTCCGCTGCGCAGGTGTGTGAACTGGGTCTCGTGTGAAGTAATCCCCCTGCTTCCCCCTCCCAGTGAGAATCCAGCCACCTGTTCAGCGCACGCACACACACACACACACACACACACACACACACACACACACACACACACACACACCACACCTCCGCAGCAAACAAGAAGAGAGACTCATGAATCATTAATTCTCATCGATTAATAATTAATCCCATCCAACACTGAGGATACAGATGAACTACCACTTTCTCCCACTAATTGGCCTAGTAAGAAAGAAGCTTCTGTTGTTTCAGAGAATGATCGCAGTTAAAGGTGCGACCGGAGGGGGTTTATCGGAAAGCCGATACTGAGCAGCTGAATCGAGAGCAGCACCATCCGAAAGCTGATCTTTCTGCTTTTTTCAGACTTATGGTCCATGGAAGAAAATGATAAAAGAGAGAAAAGATAAAAGAAGAAAATGATACAAGATAAAGAAAAACCACTGAGTAAGCAGCAATTCACGGTGAAAAGGCCTCTGAAAGACCATTTAGACTAACACATGACAATTATAATGTTTACTTCCACACCTTGTACTGGAATAAGGATTTCCAACCCTAAAATCTGTTATTAACATGATGATGTCATGTAAGCAAGTATAGGACAAGAGGTTATCTCAACCCTATCCCTTCATCTATTTCTGAGTGTATTTACAACAAGAAACATCAGGGGGGTCCTTATTTTAAATCATGACTCTCATATAAAAGAGATGCAGCATTAAGTCTCTCACAGTTATAATTATCTGTCACATGCGTCACTCTTGTAATATTTGTTACCAATCAATCATCAAGTAATAGCCAACAAAGAAAGCTTGAAACAATTTCATACAATTTTGACACTTTAAAGTGCCAATTCACTCAGGGAAGGCATTTTAATTTTCTAAAACAGTCAGTGTGTCTGTGTGAGCACTGCACTGATGGACCTGCCATTCAGATCAGATATCATAAACACAGCAGGACAAAATAGTGACATTATTTTTGGTCGGTTCATTTTAGTCATGTGTTTGATATAATATTTTTATTCAGCCAGATATAGTCCAAAGATAGCAGTGCCAGTCTGTCGCTGTAGTGAAACTATATATGGTACATGAATATATATTTACAGATGTAATGTTGGAGTTAAAACAAAGCGAAACAATTGACTGTGTATATTCTTAAACCTTATCAGAAACAATCATAACCTCACAGACAAATATGAGGAGTTACTTCCTTCCTAAACACTGTACGCTGAGAGGATATTATTCTTCATAGGATTCTCTGACTCATGGTGTAGTAAGATATTTTCAGTCTGCCTGCATCGTGCTCGTCCATCTGCACACACAGATGAGTCTTTGGCGTCCCTGCTCAGCGTCACTATCGCTGAGGTGGCTGCTGGAATTGAAAGCGATCCAGAATGCAACATTACAGCCAAGCTGTGGCGGCTAAGATTATCAGTGGCAGCAACAATGAAAACTGCCCGGCCCGGACCTCATCGTCACCGCTGACCGGCAGTGGAAACACAGTCAAAGCAAACAAAGGCCTTCACCAGTCCACCAGCCACGGCAAAGTCAACAGCCCATGCCAGGACTCTTCTGCTGAACATGCTCAGCAGATTTCTGTCTGGCCCTTATCCTGGCTCAATAAATCAGTCCAGGACTCTGTGTCCATAACTCCTGCACCACTTTTTGTCATGTGTTTCCATTAGAAATGCAACCGTTCTGATGCCACAGTAGAGAATTATGAGGATTAAAACGATCCTGGAAATCAAAATAAAATGTTTCAGGAATTCAGTGATAATACAACAGGTGGTGATAACAGACGGCACAGAATAGGTGCAATGACATCTAACGACTAGCTATGCAAATATTTGAACTAGGAGTTTTTATGGCACTTACTTGGCATTTCGACTACATACATTTTATGTTGTATAAAATATTAAGTATTTGGCACATACAATGTAATTTAAATCAATACAAAAGTAAATACAAAAGCTATGAATCCACACAAGCCACAGACTAAGCTCTTGTGTAGTCTTGTGGACTCTCATGTAGGTTATGTTGTGTGCTCTGAAAACCACTGTTTCCTCTGTGTGCAACCTTTTTGTTAGTGAAATTAATCAAATCATGAACAACGTGCTTCTTTCAGATAAGATTATAGCAGAGGAGGTGAATAAAAAGCTACAGCGCCAAAGCACAAATCCAACTGCAGGAGAAGACAAAGCACAAAGGCTTCCCAGATTTAAGACAGGGATGTATCAGAATCCATGCTGCAGTTTTCGGAAAGCTTTGGAGGATCTGGAGAAAAATAGTCTCAAACCTGAGTTGAGCAGGCAGAAAAACAAGACTCCTGATCATCACAAGAGAAGGCCTCAGCTGTGAAGAAGGACTCTCATTTACTCATTCATCTATCAGCCTATGCATCCATTCTTATATCAATCAATGCATGCAGTCATGAGCTTTAGGTTCAGCACAGAGCTTCCAAACAACAGCTCAGCAAACTTGTACTTCCTTGATGAAATTATAAGCTGTGACACAACCATGTCACACACTGTTAAGTCTTCCAGAAAGCCACATGTAGCCACAGTGCCTGGGGCTAAACTGGCGCCATCCACTTCCTGGGCACAGGCAGGCATGAACACACCGGCTCTATTTATAACTTCTTATTAGAGGGGACTGTTTTCAAATGAGGCTGAAAAGATAAGAGAGCAGCAGGAAAAGGCCACTGTTTGGGGAGGTTTTACCTCTCAGCAAATTCAGTTGTTATGTGCAGCGGGAAGAAAACGTTGGACTGCAAAGTCATGATTGAGAATTTAGTGGAAGGAAAAAATAGATTACATGGACCTTCCCTCTTACAGAATGGAGAGAAAATCTTAACAGGAAACACTTAATTGTAAAATAATCAATAGTCAAAGAGTCAAAACCCCTTTTCTGCAGGATGTGAAATCCTGCAGGAAAAGGGTGCGCGGTTCCTTTAAGAGATCCAAAACAGTCATTTACTTCCTGTGTGCTAGTAACCTGGGCTAACTCGCATCCATGGGCTAACTGCTGCAGCACTCACATAAATAATGAAGTAAATTATTTAAAACGACATAAATGTGTTGCTAAGTTTACAAAGTGACAGCAACGCCGTGGTGAAAGTGATTTTCGATAACGTTATGGCAGGGAGAAAAAGAAAGATGCTAGCAACGGCAGTAGCAGCGGCAACACCTGAAGTAAATAAACATAAAAACCACACTACGGATGTAAAACTGAAGGTTTCACCTGCCGAGCTGAAGAAGCCCGTTCAGTGTGAACAAAATGTCCCAAGTGCTGAGACAGAGCGAAGCCATTATTTCACCAAGACTGACCTGCAGCACAGACTGGGACAGGACTTTTTCAACCAACCTTGCATTACTTTGGCGAAAGCGTTCCTCGGCAAGGTCTCCCCTTTCTTGTTTTACATCCATTTAGTTTTATTTCTGAAATCTGTAATGCTCTGTAGAGGATACAATTGTAATAATGTTTGTGTCAGTGCAGCTCAAAGGTTTTGAAACAATTAAAGTTACTGGTTGTTACAAAGACTTGAGAAAACGACACTGTTGAACGTGAAGGTACTTTATATTTAGTGCAGCTGCTTCATCAAGTAACATGTCAGTTCAGTTTCTTCTTGAATTTAACATGACTGTCACTACAACCTTACTATAAACTGAATGGTGTTGCAAAAACCAAGACCACAATACAGGATCCAGATCAGAAATAGGAATGACAAGCAATGATTTTTTTTTTTGACTGTTTTTGTCAGATCAGTTCATAATCAAAAGATATTCAATTTGCCATCACAGAGCATCATTTTTGCAGTAATGGATTGTCGAAATTGTTGCCAAGTAGTCTTCTGTTCATTGACTAATTAATTGACTAATCACAATAAAACACAATGTATTGCTCCTTGTCCCTGCAGGTGCTGGTCCGCAGGTGTGCGGATGGTACTGAGCTGCGAGGGAGAATAGTGGAGACTGAGGCTTACCTGGGAGGGGAGGACAGAGCTTCACACTCAGCAGGAGGCAAACGCACAGAGAGGAACATGGCCATGTTCATGAAGCCAGGCACCATCTATGTGTATCCAATCTATGGCATCTACCTCTGTATGAACGTGTCTAGTGAAGGTAAAAAAAATTTAAAAAGCATTGCCCATAATGCATAATGACAGCTTACTGATGCATGCACACATAAAAACATGTTATGAAACCTAATTTATGTTTAATGCTCCCTCTTTTAAGTTTTTATCATTAATATGACATTAAACTATACAGCAGTTTGTTTTCTATCATCAGTGTGTAAAGGGCAAAAGGAAGGAGACGGAGTGGAGCCTTGCTGATTGATGCATATTGTGTGCTGTTTTTCACAGGGGAGGGTGCTGCCGTGCTGCTGCGCTCCCTTGAGCCCCTGCAGGGTCAGCCTGTCATGAGGCAGCTGAGGGCAGCCAGACGCAGAGAGGGAGCCCGACAACTTAAGGACAAAGAGCTCTGCAACGGGCCTTCCAAGCTGTGCCAGGCTCTAAATATACCTCGCTGTTTTGACCGTCAAGACCTGGCCTCAGACCCAGAGGTGTGGCTGGAGAAGGACCCCAACACAAATCCAGCAGAACTCTGCGATATAGTATCAGCACCACGCGTTGGAATCGAGTCCCATGGCGAATGGGCCAAGAAGCCGTGGAGGTTTTATCTTCGTGGGCACCCCTGTGTTAGTGTAGTGCATAAAGAGGCAGAAAGACAGTCTCAGTCTGGAAATGTAATGAACGCTTCAGATGTGCAGGCTGACACGGGACATGTCAAAAGGATTTAACAGGAATATTCCTTACACTACTCTGCCATCTGTTCCCATTGTGGACTTCACCATTTACACAAAATAAAAACTTAAGAAGACAGTACATCTTACACGTATGAAATTAATAATTCCATTATATTTTTTATAATTTTGTGGCTCTTAGAAAGTCATGACATTAGAATAACCTCCAAGACTGGTTGAGTCTAATTTCTAATCTGCACAGATTATACAAAATGTTTCTCATCCATTTTATTATTTCCCCCTATTTATGGTACTGATGCAAACCTGTACTGGAAAATAATCGATTACAACTTAAGGCACTAAGAGTAAGCCTTAGTTTATCAGTGCCTATAAAAAATATCTGTTCTGAAGCTCACAAGTCTCTTTTGTTCAGGTCTTCCATCTGTTTTTTAATAAACATTCAAACTTGGGAAATTCTCGTCAGTGACTCAGTGATTTCACAGATGTTTGGAACGCTCTGCTTCCCTCAAAGCAAAAACAGCCCTGTCTGATGTTTAGAGTCTTCCCTTTCTTGCTGTCTTTCTCTTCTCGCCACCTCTGGGATTCCTGAGAAGAGGTAGCTGGTGGTCTGGAATGATCATTACTCCATGTGCCCCTCTGTGGTCAGTGCAGATGATCTGACACATCTGGAATAGGTTGATGATGAAGTTTAAACCGACACCACGACACCAATCTTTCCAATATCCACAGTGAACACTTGAGGTGTTTTCTGGTATGTACAAAATAATTTAATATTGTAAACAAACATTTGGCTCATAAAGGAAAAACACTTTTTACACTTTGTAAATCTGCACACATTGATGCAATCATTGTGTCAGTTCATTTTAAAAACAAAATTGTTGAGCAGAAGCACTTAGCCGTGAGCACAGCAGGCTATTAACTGCTCTCAAACTGACATCTTTTTCTAGTTGGTGAGACCTGATACCGTCCCTGTGCCGCTACTCCATGGGTGACTGAAAGATTGAAATAATGGGATCCTCATGGTTGGTCACCACAAGGACACTGCGGAACTTGTCAAACAGCGTCTTGAGCTGCGAGCGCCTCATGTTCTCATTGTACATAATCTCTTCCAGGTGGTGATGTCCCCGGAAATAATGCAGCAGCCTGAAAGAAGTCAACATAACAGGCAGAAAAATAGGTTGAGAGCTACAGTTTAACTGGATCATTAGCCATGTAAATCAACCATGGGACAGGACTTTCACACCTTTGATGACATTTTTCATTGCTTTGCAGTAGGTAGCGCTGATTCTATAATTGGTGAGATTTCTAGACACATTTTATTTCGATATATTCTCAGCTAACAGCGAGCAAATTATCTCAACCCTCCAGCCAACAGTTCCAATTAAATTTCTCAATATTCTGTGAATGCAATTAAAATAACTTTCATTTTCCAAACCATTGCACAGTTATCATCTTATTTCCTTAGAGACATAAAAGTGATTCACAACAGAAATGAGTCACTGGATCCTCACTAAAACATATCCCATCTGTTAATCTAACTGCCTGAAAGCACAGAGCAGTGAGTTCAGAAACGTTTGATGCACAAGCAAAACAAAAAAAACACAGAACGTTTGTGTGTTAGAGGCAGGTTTAATTACCTGGCAAACATTCGCAGATCCTCGGGATTTTGTGCAGCAGGGATGTTAAGAATAACCTGCCGCTCGTGCTCTGACAGACTGGCGAGCAGCGTCTCTGTCATCCTCTTGTTGAGTGGAGAGTCTCCACCAGGCAGCAGCTCTGCACTGGAGTTGTCCATGCTGGGACTGGTGAGGGTCATGTCGTCACTGCTGGCTACGCACAGGGAGCAGACGGATTGGAAAAGATTATATATTACCTGTTACAACTGTAAGAGCAGAGGCAGACAGGTGAGCTGAGCGAGGACATACTTGGGGAACCGAAGCTGAGAGCACTTGGGGTGCTGAGACTGCGGCCTCCTACTCTGGTGGCCAGTGGAGGATCTTCATCCCTCAGCCCAGGGTCATCCTCGCCAGGCGGTACCAACAGGCAAACATAAGTGTGCAGTTGGATCAGCAGGCGGCGCTGGAGCATCCACACCACCATCTGGATCAGCTGGGCCTGGTCAAGAGCAGAGCAGCAAATGCATTACAGCTGAGCAAAGCATAAATATTGAACAAGTGAAGCTGCGAGCTGCTCGTGTCCCTAACCAGGTCAAATATGTTTTAAATCGGCTGTGGGTGACATACAAGCTCAAAATAGAGCAACAAGAAAGAGCCATGGCTCTGATCTTGCGCTCATAAAAAATGGAGGCTGCAGATGCTGCAGCTGATGTCCCTTTGCCATTTATAATTCATCCCCAATGCTCAAACAGCTCTGCCAAAACAAGATGGGTCGGAGATGATCACCAGATGGTCCTGCTCTTATAATAGTGTCCAAATTTAAAGTAATAGCCCTATAAATACTAGGGATTTACCGGGAAACAGTAATTTCACATTTGTTTGCTCTTAATTTGTACAAAATATCTGTCTTTGTCACAGTCAATTATTCTTAAATGTAAAAATACTTCTTCAAACAAGGAACATTCTTTCATTGTTACAACAGTTTCCAAGTCATTTCACTTTGTTCAGGTGTATTTAGAGGAAAGGATTTTTTCTTCTTCTTCTTAAAGAAAAAACATATGATGAGAAAATGAAAAAACCAGTGGGATTGTCTCACTTTTTCACAGTCATGTTGTAACATTATAACTAAATTATTTGTCACATGTTACAGATTTTTTTTTTCCACAGTATATGAGCAGCTACAATAATCCTACCTCCTGTGCAGGAGCTTCCAGGGGGTTTCTGAACTCGGCCAGTGAGACAGGTAGCGAGAACTTGGCTAACATGGAGGGCAGATCATGACCAGGAAACTGCTGGGCAAAGTGCTCAGCCAGTGGTGAGTATCTATCCAGGGAGAGATGGCACAGGTTACTCTACAATACAGAACTTTTCCATTAGCACAGCTCTTCTGAATTCATTTTCCACCGTGTTGTGAAGGAAAGTCTGTTTAAAGTCTGGTGCATAGAGAAGAAAAATGACAAGTGCTGCCAGTGGCCCAATAGTTCTTTCATAACGCGTCACATTCTGAGGTGATTTAACAAGTGCAGGCTATGGAAATCTGAATTCAATGATAATTTATATGTGTTTTGAGACCAGTGAATATGAATTAAAGGCATGGACGGGTGCTGAGCAGAATAATGGTTCATTAGCTGTGCAGTAACCAGTTCAGCCAACTGGCTTACACACATCACAGACACTCACAGGCAGATGTTGGCATGAGGAGACAGCATGTACACGTTGTTCTCGCACAGCGGGTAGATGATGATCGCTTTGCCCCAGTAAACCAAGTGGGCAGCAATTTGAAAGATCTGAGAGAGGGGAAAATATTTCGTAAATAATATCATTGATGTGAAATTATAGCATCTGAACATGAGCATCTGAACCGCAAAAAGCTTCACAAGTGGAAACCGTGTGCTGAAGGAAAATAAGTATATAACTTCACCACACAAGGGAACTTTCTTTAATTCTCTTTGAATGTATGTATATTGTCCACTAGATGGCAGTATCAACACAGTAATAGATCTCAGACTTATCACCATTGTTGCACATTTTGCACCTTATTTCACATCTTTCCAATTAAAGAATCATAGTCTATGATTCTCCCTATATTATACAGGTACGTGTTTAAATTTGATGACATTGAATAGCTTTTGTGTTTTGTATTTTAACGAAAAAGGTCTTAAAATACAATACAATCACCAAACTAAATTATAATCTCTGAATGAGCTTCATTATTGTATGCAGTTATGAATTTTTATTTTTTTTATTATGAAAAAGTGCTCCAAATTTCAATTTGTGATGCAGGTGGTGTGACTGCTCTGCACCTGAAGTAAAGCCAGGTCAGCGTCCTGGGCGAGCTGCTGCAGGTTTTTCACCGCTGAGCAGGTCTTGATGAGGCGCACCATCGCAGGCGAGCAGTCCAGAGGAAGCTGGCTCAGCAGTGCCTTCTCACTTTCCAGCAGCAACAGGGCATGATAGGGTCTGGAGGATCAAACAACGTATGACACAGCCTCTGAATCAACAGACCCTCTCTTTGGAGATCAAGACTGCCTCCTCAATAGAAATCAGTACCAGTCAACGTACAGAACAACTACATGCATCTGAGAGCACAAAGTGACCACTATGATGAAATAAAAATTTCATCTGGATAAACTACCTGTATTATGCATATTTAATTCTGCTTCAAAAGACAGAAATAAAAGGGGAGGTAGAAGCTGATTACAACCCTGCTGTAAGTTAGCTGAAGAAACAATAGGTGGCAGTATGGCCCACAGAAAACTGGCCTACTACAACCCTTAATCAGCTGTTAAAGACGCAACACTTTGACATACCAAAATGATGGGACTTTACTATGTCAATTTAAAGGATGAAATATTTGTTGTTGAGCAAATCAACTGTGGGAAAACAGTGTATCCGACAACATAGATTAAAGATTGTAAAAATCCTGAGATCTTTGATGGTCACTGTAGGCCTGTGCAGGTCATCTGACTAAATAAGACTAATAATAAAAGTGTTAGGATCATGAGTTTATCGCTTCTTATTGTTCATTTACTTCAACCAGATCAACTTCACATCTTCTACCTCTCATATTCCGAGCTGACAATTACTGACTCATTTTGCACGACTTGCAGCCAAGTCAGATTAGCAAATTAACACAGTGGTGCTGTATTTGTGGGCAGAAAAGACAGAAACTATATTAATAACTATCAGTAAATGTTTTAAATTTCCTACCTAGTAAATTAAACAGAGTTAATTTAAAGGGCATATCCTAACCTCATTTAAAAGTTGCATGACAAAAAAATTTCTCTGTAATAAGACTTCTGACATGTTCACGCTGTGAGAGGGGGGCAACTGGGTGGAGCCCCTGTGGTTGTTTGTGATATGCCATTTTTAGTATCATTGTCCATCAATGTTGAGTGGGGTGTTGCCACACATGTAATTTTAAGTTTCAACCCACTGGGTTTAGAGACTGGCATCTGCCCTCTATGATTTAGTGCAAAAAAGTTGCTCTTCTGCTGATCAAATATAAAGATTAAGTACAAAAAACATATTGTTAATAAAAAAATAAAAACACACCTTATGGCTTTAAGGCTGCGCTCTAATGCCTCTGGGGGGATATAGTTGCCACCAATCCTGTGGATCTTGTGCGGTAAACAGAAACTCACCTCCAGCCAGTTGTTAATGTGTAGTCGCACCACACCTGTTGTACAAAGGCTGACAAAACATCAACATCATGATTAATAGTGGCACAGTTAAAAAAAAATCAGGCGCCATATTTTTCTTGCAGAATAGATGTAAAAACAAAAAAACAAAGCTTATCTGTATGACTGAACATGTAAGATGATATAAAATCATTTACTGGTGTACAAATTCATTAAAAATTGAATTCCTAAATCACATACTATCAGATATAAAACAATAATCAAGTGAGACTGTGGATGACTGGAAGCCTCCAGTGTAAAAATATCACAGTTGCTGGGCAGATATTGAGAAAACATGACTGACACTTGCACTTTCTCAGCTGTAAACATCTATATCAGCGTCAGCTATATGGACAATATATATTGTGCATGGTTTTAAAAAAAAAAGGGAGAAATAGTAAAACGACATGAAATGTGCCTCATCACACACCTGTCATAAGCCTCCTTCAGGTCCCTGGCTAGTTTACATTTGGGAAGAATTTGTCTAAATGGGGACTGGGGGCTTCCATCTGCTGGCATCAGGAAAAACAGAGAACTCTGTCAAAATAGACTCATATCTAAACTTGAGCGGTTAAACAATAACACATCATCATAATCTATGAAATTTTATAGTTTTACTGAGACAGTGGTATAAATTTGCTGTGAGGTCTGAGGTGTGAGAAGTGTGCATCTCACTCTCAGTCATGGTGGTGATCTCATCCTGGACGGCCAGCATCAGCTTGGCCTCTCTGGTCAGGTACTGGCAGCGCCGCTCCTCGTGCTGCAGGGCTATAGCGATGCGTCGTGACAGGTTGTGCATACAACTGATGACGGAGGGGTCGGCGTTCGCCTGTAGAGGCCGAAGATGAGAGGGAGCAAATCATAAAACAGTGTAACATGTATACAACTCAGTGATTACATACTACACTACCTTTACAGCATCAGTGCATTAATTTGTTGCTCAGCTAGCATTCATGTCAAACATCACCACTCGGTCAACAGTCAGTCATATATGGACCTTTAATATTGAATTGATTTTTGAGCTCTTTTATGTGAGGTAAAGATCTTAGCATGTAACACACTTAAAAATGCAGGAAACTTTGCATAATTCAAATTAAACTTATGCTAAATATCTAAGCATATATTTAATACATTATCATTTTTATGCAATCCAGTATAAGTGCCTTTCAATAAAACTTATCACTGTAAAGCTTCTAATGTTTGGTTCTTATTGAGACATTCTTATAGTCAAAAAGGTTTTGCCTCATCTGAAGTTTGTATTTCTGAAGGTCAGTGGTTGTACTTCCACAAGTATGTAAATAAAGAAGAACAAAACTGAAAGTGATCCCTAAACTACACAATCTCTTGGTTTTGTGAAACAGATCAGGTGCCATAGTTTTATTATGGAAGGAATATAAAAAGTAAAAAACAAAGACAATCTGTATGGATGACCATGTACAATAATAAATTTCAGCTGTGAATCCATTTAAAACTGAATGGTTAAATCTTGTACAATCGATTATAAAATACACTAAATTAACCCGCATTGTGAATACGCAGTGCCATATTAAAACAACCCAATGAGACTGTTAATCCACCGCAGTTGCTGGGCAGATACCATTGTCAAAACATGACTGGGCACTTCTCGCCCCATCTCAGCTTAACTGAGACTTAGTGGGTACAGTGACTCAGCATGGGCAGGAACAGGCTGTGCCTTGTTGAGTAGCATGATTAAGCAAAGTAAATTGGTCCCTCCTCCCTCTGAGTTCCCATGCTCTCATAGATAGAGTATACTGGAATATTATCACTCACACACACCCCTCCTATTCACAGAACACACAGATTAACAGAACACAAAATGTGTGTCCCACCCACAGTCAGCTGATGTAATTGTGTTATCATTAAAAATAAAAAATTGTAAAATTAAAGTTGTAATATTATAATATAAAAATTTTAATTTTAACAGATAGCGCAAACAGCCATTATGTTTGCTTTTAGGTTCCAAATACACAAACCATATCTACAAATCACCATAATACCAACAATTACCACTAAAATGTATTCAATTCAATTTTATTACTATAGCAGCAAATCACTACATACATTATCTCAAGGCATAATATTAAGAAGAGAAGAGAAGTCTTTTCATACCCTGAGTGCAAACACCACATTAAACAAGATCATGGTGGGCATCTCTCTCTTAGGTGAAGGATCTGTTTTGGAAACCTACATGGAAAGAAGACACAGTTTGAATCAAGTATAAGATAAACAACGCTTATATATACAGTATATATATATATATATATATATATGTATATGTATATATATGTATATATGTATATACACACATGTATATATATATAATATATAATTATAATATATATATATATATACACACATGTATATATATATATGTATATATATATATATATAATATAAGTAATATATACATAATATAAGTAAAATGTAAATATACAGCATTCATATTCAAAGGATAAGATACGATGTGGTCAATACTTTAATCAAAAACAGTTCTGTTCACAAATACAGAGTTGGCAGTTTATTAGGAACACCTTACAGAAACTAATTCAGTCTAATACAGCAGTCCTGCAATAAATCCTCCCATCATGAAGGTTATAATATTCTGCTTGTGTTTCAGAGAGGTGTTGATTCAACTGTATGATAATTCTGGAGAATGTAGTTGATTGTGGTTTTTTTGAACTGTGCTGTATAATGCAGAGAGGCATTGCTGTTATTTAGTGATATACTGTAAATGGGGTGGGGTACATACCTCTGTATGTAGAGCGCAGTAATGTTCAGCAGCACCACAAACTGCAGCCTCCAAAATGACCAAAAAGTTGAATCAACACCTCTATGAAACTGTTTCAACACAGACTGACATTTGTGAAAATTATAACCTCCATGAAGGGAAGATTTATTGCAGGACTGTTGTATTAGACTGCATTAGTTTTTGCTAGGTGTACCTAATAAACTGTCAACTGAGTGTAAAGCACAAGGGCAGTCATAAATATTGAATGGAAAATTCATTAAAGGGATGGAAACAGTAAAAGCTGTGCTGGTACAATGATATGCAGCTGAGTAGAAAAATCCTCCAATACATTAAACTTTGTGAACCAGTTCAGTTTTTGTTGAGACTGTCAGACAAGTGTTGACTGAACTCTAAGGTCCTTTTTTTTAAAAACCTGGTTATTCCTGGTATTTCCACACATCAACCTTAAAAAAGCATATTTAACCTATATTTAATTTGTTTTATAAGTTCATGTCATAGATACCTTCAACTTGGGCAACACAAGCAACGAATCATCAGACTGAAAAAGAAAACTGTCAGTAGGGGGCACTGCTGAAATTAAGACCAATCTGCCAAAGCTCAAAGCTGATATACATTTTAAGGATCATGGTGAAATGAGAGATGGTCTCATCAAAGCCAGATGGCAAGACATGTCAATGTTACCGTAATAACATTAACAGAATTCAAGATGGCACTGTTCACCTTTTGACTGATACTTTTATAATAACAGCAAAATACACATCACAAAAAGCTGAACCCAGTACAATATATATACATATATGATTTTCTTAACAATGGACACAAGCTGTGACCAGAGCATCAGTATAAACATATTGTTTACACTTTCTGACACTTAAGGTCGAAGAATGACTGTGCATCTTTTCACCACGCTTCATGTGTTCCTACCTGAATGATGGGAGGATGCTGAAGGAGAGTAGGGTGACCCACAAATCGAACATTGTCTATCTTCAGTTCAAACTTCTTTCCACAGATATCAGATTTGGTGGCCAGGATGGTGGCGAGGATGATGTCAGAGAACCTTGGAGAAGGAAGAACACACTCAATAACAAAGTGTTCAGGGTGGGGGGAGAGGTTACAGCAGAGAAACAGCTGGGGCACGTGAGAAAGTTTAAATTAGCTCTGTTTGTTTACATTTTTCACATCCCTGTCTCTAAGAGGAGTTGTGTTAATCAGATGCATCTGCCTGCACTTTAATTCAACAATCAGAGTATAAATGAAAAAGCTTGTGTGGCTACTGGAGAGGAGAAAAGAAGAAGAGGTCTCCTTGCAGAAAAAAGTGAAGTCGCTGTATGAATGAAGAATGTGAAAGACTCATGCTGGTTTGACTGAAGTAACTCATGCTGCAAAGGGATAAAAATCAAGCCCTCAACTTCCAGTAAAAAATTAAACACACTGTACACTTACCCCACCAACACAACTTGAAAAGAATGTGTTGTAGTTGTTGTATTGTTGTTTGCATTTGATTTGCATTTCGTTTTATAATGCTGAGTCTACATGCTAGAGGTAATATAATCAATGCAAATTAATACTTGAATTATATTCATTTTATATCTAATTATAGTTTTAAACTGCTGGATTTATTTTTTCATGTGAAAAAGGCACACGGTACAGAGGAAAGCAACACTGAAATCCCAAATTAAACAAACACTGATTCACTGGATCTGCTACAGATAATTTACAAGGATTTTTTTTTAGATTAGGGTTGGGGATCCATATAGGACACAAAATAGGAAAGAAGGGGATAAAAAAAGACAGGGGTGATCTAAGCGAAGGAAAGGTGGTTTAGAATGATTTGGTCTTACCCTGCTACCAACTGTTCGTCAGTTAGTGGAGATTGTTCTCTGAAATGGGAATTGGGCCATAAAAAAGAAGAAAAAAAGCAAACAAAAGGGAAAATGCAACACACAGTTGGGCTGAATGCATAAAATGGACATCAAAACAACCCGAACAAATATGTGAGACTGTGATGTGAAACTGCTGGTCTGTATGTTGATTCAAGGAAGTTAACAGTTAACCCTGTCCAAGGCCTACTGTCATTAATGTTGACAAATTTCTTATCTTTATACAGATATGTGAGCTTAAATGCCAACCTAAAACTGTCATAAAGGCAACTAAAAAATTATGACATTACTCAACCAGAGACAGTGAAATTAAGTTTATGCTCTTGCTAAAAGGTCATCTTTTCTAACTGGGGTATACACCAAAAAATTCAGTTTGAAGTGGAGTCAGAGGGCACAAACAGAGCAAAAGAAATGAAAAGATTTCACGATGCCTGGTGAGCTGAATTCATGGAGTTTAAATGCTCACGTGTGGCTGCTTTTCACAACACAGTAATTTCAACCAACTACCAACTGTCCGGCAATACCATCTGTCAAATGGTAGCATGATGCTGCTCTGAACAAGAGACACGACTGAAAGATTCTCTGCCTTGTGTTTTACAGAAAGAGACATCAGCATTGTTGAGAGTGCATCCAAGGGGGAGCTCAACCACTCATCATGAATAGCTGAGAGGAAAAACTCTGAGTGGCTCCACTTTGTCTGCATTGCGGGCTGCCCCAAATGTAACTCAACTAAGCTACACTCATATCTGCTTCATCCATGACCAGGAGCTTCTCTCTTTCTTCTTTCGCTCAGTGGATGATAAAGAAAAAAGGGAAATGACGCAGCAATGCTAAAGTCCTATTTTTCTTGTATCTATGACCAACTCCGTATTGTAATATTTGATTCTATGTTACTGTCCATACCTTCTTGTCACAACATTCAACTTAGATTAGAAAAGCCTGGTGTGTGTTAAACAACGCATTGTACGAACTTGTTTATTTAAAGCATATAGAAACAATCAGTGCCCCACATTCTCATGAGGAGAGCAAAAAAATATATGAAGTAATTTAAAATGGTTATTTATGACCTGTGTTTTTTCACCAGTTCAGATAAATGAGCTTCAAACAGTAGCTTGAGCTACAACAAAGTTTAAACACACGGTAAGGTGATTTCATTAATGCTCAAACATGTGGGCTAAATTAACCATGGGCAAGTTCCTTAATTCTTCTTGGAAAAAAAAAAAAAAAAAAAAAGAGTCTTTTGGGAGGAAAAAGAACAAGATGGAGGAAAAACATAATGAAAGTAAGAAGCTCATGTGAATCTCAGAAGGGTCTGTGTATCCACCTACACTCAGTTATATGATAATAAATGATACTTCCATCAATATTAGATGAAGACCAAAAGAATACCTTGAATCACCATCCTGATCTTCAATACCATCCCCAGTTGTGTTCAGTGCATATGGACTTCGTTGTTTTGCTTGTGGACAGAAATAATAGTATTAGTTCACATGAATTTGCCAATTGGGAGAAGAAAATAAAAAAAACATTTGTTCAAAATTTGGTGCAGTTAAAAACCACAATAAGAAGAATGTTCGAATAATGGTATGGTATGGTATCAAATGTATCAGAGAGATTTTATGTAAACTCAGTGCTCTTTTACAGTACAAGGCGTTTGTTGTCATTAAGGGTATTTGTCAGGGTTGGTTAGGGTCTGCTACTGTTGCTCTTTGCCAATATGGTTTTTCAGCGTCTGGCATGTCAGACTCTTATTTGTCACAAAATACCACGAGGTAGGCGTCTGATCAACCCAAATTCATTCTGCAGCATGATGACCCCAAACATACAGCCAGAGTCATAAAAAACTATATGGAGAGATAAGATTAACAAAGAGTCCTGCAGCAGATGGTCCCAACAGAGCCCTGATCTCAAAATCATGAAGTCAGTCTGGGACCACATGAAGAGACCTTGAAAAACTACATACAATCAAGAGAACTGGTGCCGTTTTAAAGGCACAGAGTGGTTCACACCAAATATTTGATTGAGTTTTTTCTGTCAGTTTTACTTTACCTGTGCACAGTACTGTAGATCATAGAATAAATGCAGAAAAAACTGGAAAACTGTCTTTCAGAAAGAGTAACAGTGGACACAAATAGACTACAACAACACCTATTGAAAAATCGTCTTATTTGCTTTAAACCTAAAACTGTGGCCTCATTGATTACAGTCACAGCAAAATGTGATCATTGTCAGCTTTACAGAGACAACTGACATTGTTGGCCTGCTGTAATGGACCGGATAATATTGTGAGGTGTTTGTTACTATGTCAAGCATATACGTGTGTAATTAAGTGAGAGTAAGATCTCGAGGACTCTGGCTTCCCTGAATAATGAGCAGGTGATGAGTTGTGATTTGGGTGATGCTAATGTTAATCCTACCTGTAAGAGATGACGGGCACTCACCCACTCTTTGGAAAGGGTATCGAAAGAGCAGTTTGTTCCCTCGGCTGCCAGAGCTAACCAGTATGACGCTAATAGGGCTGGTTTTATCTCCAGTTTTGTACACGCTCTTTTGTGGCTGATTGTACATGGACCTTCGGTCATCTGGTAACCCGGCTGATGGGTTGAGCATCATGGTAGCATCCTAGCTAACTGTACGTTAGCTGCTGCGACACAATAAAGTCGGCCGCTAGCGATGTAAACGAGTGAACGTTAGCGTGAAACTGGTATTATTATTTACCACACACACACAGGCACACACACCGTTTCTTGACAAATCACTGGCTAACTGATTTTAACTTTGAGGCCTGGCAACTAAGGACTACTCTCCCTACCGTACGCCCATGAACTGTTGTGATTGTTTTGTGTCACCTTGAAAGATGTTCGACTGGAACAGATACGGCGGCTACCAGGTTCCCTCCAGCTGCAACAACAGCTACTATCCCAACATAAGGGAAATAACGTCTCATTAAGCTCATATGTGGCTATAAAAATGAGACAAAATATTTACGTCGTAGTATAGAGGATCAATACAGGCAGTGTAACAAATTCCAGATCATTAAATCCAGGGTTAACCCTCCCTGATAAATATTTTTCATGTCCGCTAGATGGCGCGTTGGCTGATTGAGACTGAATAGCCTGCTGCACATATGATTTTAGGGTAAGAAGGCTTCTTACATTTGTAATAAAACACCACAAGACTATCCAGCCATATTTAATGTTCAGTCATTAGGTCCAACGTCACAAATGACTCTCGTGTGTATTGGCAACAGTTCCACAAATTTCAGCCGTCGCCCTCATGATGGAGTATTTTGATGCAGTTATCATAAATTTCAGATGACCCCACCCATTTATCAAACTGCACATTCTTGAAGAAGCCAAAATAGCCGGCAAAGATATTTTCCTCCGAACAGACAAGTCATAATAAATATCAAATAATATAATTTACCACTGATCCCTCCAATTATGAGGTCTTCTCAAATGGTGAAGTTCTTCTGCTCCAATCCTGCATTGAGCATATTAACTGCCAACCTTGTATAGAGGCCCTGTAACTGTTAACAGTCGGCTCATGTGAACTTTCAAGCTAGAATAGAAGGTTTAGTCTTAGTGACAACATTGATTGAATTGAATGGACAACCAGAATAAACTGGGATCATTATCCCACAAGTGTAACCGTTATATGTTGGCTATTTGAATTAATTTATGTACATTGTTATAACAGAAACTGGTACTGATTCGAGGCTAAGAGACTCTAATGAGAAGAAAAATAACCTTAATAGTAGGCTACCTATCACTAAACTATCACTTTTACAAATGATTGCACAGAGAGAGATGTACTTATAATTTGGGTTTTATTTGGTGTATTTGGCAACAGCTACAAAGCAGAACATGAGGCATTTTGGTTTGGATTTGTAGGACTGCTGCAAATTATTTGAAGGTGAACTGCGTCTCCAGAGCCTCAGTGGTACTGTCTGCCCAGGGCAGAGACGACCACAGACAGGAACTTCTGCCAGGCCTCCTGGACATCAGCGGTGAAGACTTGTTTTCCAAACTTGGCAGCCACACACACGCTGATGCATTCAGCCAGAACCTAAAATGAGGCAAACAATAGGATGATCACATTAAGGAGACTGTCTGTGGTAGTCTAGCAGAACAACAACTGTTCATGGCGAAGGGTCTAGGCAGAGTCAGAGGTGTTAACATACCCTGAAGTTATCAGGATCCACGTGGAGCTTCTCAGAGTGCATCGCGCTCAGCTTGGCGTAAGTGTTCTTGATGTCGTCCAAGTTCTTCACGGCATTTTCCAGCCCACCCATCACGGTCTTACCGTGCTGGGCCACCTTGGGGTTTCCGAGGATGGCGGCATTGGTGGACACGTTGCCAAATGTGGTGAAGTGTCTCTGAGTCCATGGATACACAATCAGAAGCCTGAAATGACACGAATCATAAGGACTTATAAATAAAAGTTCCCAAAAGTGATAAGTGACCCACAATAACAACAAAGGTAGCCTGTACAAAGTTCCAAGAAAATACCAATAATAATAATAATAATAATAATAAAGATACATTTGTCTCAGGTCAATGAGATCCCACTAAAAACATACATTAAAATAATAGTGCTATTACAAAACACATACATTGATATCTATGAATCAAAATGAACAGACAGGTCACCTGGTCAGAGCCTGGGGTCCAATTTCACCCACATCAATCTTTCCCCACAGGGAAATGATGGCGGAGCGCTCAGCATCTGTCCAATCGACCATGGTGACGACGTTAAGGGTTTCTCGATCTTTTTTCAAAAAAAAATCTCTGATCACGAACCTTTAGCAAATTCTTCTCTTTCTGGAGGTTTTTATTAATTACTCAGTGCCACACCTCTCAGCCCTGGAAGCCTCTGATTGGACCAAAGTGGATGAAAGTTGGGCTGTACCTGGTAGGAGTTAGAGGAGATCTTTGCCAGCACTGGAAAAGACTGATAAGAATAAAATGCAAATTAACGCCAAAACTGATAAATTGTAATGGGACTTAATGTAATTTCAATTAACATAGGCTGAAATAGAACTAGCCTATACAACTGAAATAGAAAATTTGTTTTATATTAGCCTTAATTTTCCAAGCTGGAGTTTTTGCATCAGATCCTAAATGTTTATTAATGGACGTTTAAAACATTATATGAAGATTTTGCGACCTTTATTTTTTTCCGATCTGGAGCGTTGATAACAGTGTTACATTTTAAAATCTCGTTTGTCCTCTCTTTCGCCTTCATTACATAAACATTGATTATTTTCACCTTTATTTATGGGCTACAAGATGGCTGGCAAACTCAACACCTTATAAAAACACTTGAACGTTCAAGTAAAAATCCATCTCACTTGTTGTAACATTTAATTTAAGATAAGTCTAGTTTTTCCAGAGTTTGGTATTATTTTATGAAATTTTTGAATCACTTTGTCAAAACTTTGATACAGAAATTAGAACTCTCCACACTGGCCACCAAGTGCAACCTCTCAAATTACAAAACCTAGGTTTTTTTGTCTTATGGAATGTATATTTCAAGCAATAGTGTAAAACATTTTAAGCTCATTCAAATTAGAAACATTAAGTTCCCCAGCCACCTTTAAATGTGAGTTAACTGAACTTAAGTTTAATAATCATTTCAAAGTTGTTTTAAGAATTTTGAAAATGTAAAACTGTGTTAAGTTTACTGCACTTGGGACAAGATATTAAATTGGAATGACTGTTTAATCTCACATTAGAGACAGACTTGTCTTCCTTTACTTTGAAAGAGTCCATTTTTCATTTGTGGGCAACATGAAGATCTTACACTGCAGCTGTTGAAGCGATTCTGTCAGTACTGAGGCAACATGTCAGGCTGCTCACAATGATCTTATTAAATTTCAAGTGTATGGGAATAGGGACTGAATTTAATACTAACCTTCAACGTGGTTATCATTGTTTTTATTATCAGGCTATGAAAAGAAACAACCATGACTCAATTTAAGATGGAGGACACATAACAAGTTTCCATCATGTTTGTTTTCTACTACAACTATTACAAAAAGGACTTTCTGGAGGGTTTTACTAACTCCATGCTGAGATGTCTGCTAATATGTTGGTTTTGTTTCTTTAAAAACTTAATTTAATGAATTGAGTGAACTCTCAGTTGTTCATCCAAGTCAAAGGACATCGTTAGAAGAACTAATGATAATAAAGTTGTCTGAAAATGAAAATTCCAAGTAGAATGAACTCGAAATTAACAAAACATTTATATTTACATTAGATTAACTAGAAATGATCAGTAGATTACACTGAATTCATGTGAGATGTTTTAAAGTGTATCTGCAGACAAATTCAAATTTGTATTATTATACAAATATTTTCGATTATGTAAAATAACTGACTCAGAAAAAATATAGAAAAGGGAGTGGTAACTTTTATCTCAGAAACTGCCTGGAAGCTTCTGGCAATTTCTTCCACGTAGGTGTGGTTTGGATTGATACTGGGGTGTGGTGCAGTTTGGTTTGATATAAAAAAGACTGTTAGAGATCCACTTCCCCAGCATCGTCATATCAGACATTTTTTCTTTCATTTAAGAAAACTTGAAGAAAAGGCAGACATGAGTCTCTCTGGAAAAGACAAGTCCGTGGTGAAGGCCTTCTGGGACAAAGTGTCCCCGAAGTCCGGCGAGATTGGAGCCGAGGCCCTGGGCAGGTAAGCTTCCTTTCTCCTCATAGTTAAAAACTGGCATGCTTTTCATTTTTTCGTTAATGTTAAATTCGTTAAATTAATTCTTCTTTATTCAATCCCTGTTTGACAGGATGCTGACTGTATACCCGCAGACCAAGACCTACTTTTCCCACTGGGCGGATGTGGGTCCTGACTCCCCACAAGTGAAGAAGCATGGTGCTACCATCATGGCAGCTGTGGGAGAAGCCGTCGGAAAGATCGATGACCTTGTGGGTGGCCTCTCCGCCCTCAGCGAGCTGCATGCCTTCAAGCTCAGAGTGGACCCTGCCAACTTCAGGGTAAGGAATGATCAATGCAGTTTCTAAAGTGTTTTCTACACCAAAATGGTCATATGAATTATCAGGAATTATGTAGCTACTTTTATAATCAAGATATGCGTTTTTTTCCCATGTTGCTGACTTGAAATTTATGTTTTTCTTGCGCAACCGCAGATCCTGGCCCACAACATCATCTTGGTTACGGCCATGTACTTCCCCGCAGACTTCACTCCTGAGATCCATGTCTCCGTTGACAAGTTCCTGCAGAACGTGGCTTTGGCTCTGGCCGAGAGATACCGCTAAACTTTCTAGCAATCCAGGAGCATCGACTGCCTACAGCACATGTGGCATGTCGCTCACAATAATGTCAAGATCCCTTTTCAAAATGGAAGGGCTTGGTGAATAAATCGAATAAAAGTGAAATGTCCAGATGTCCGTGTCCTCTTCATTGTCTTTACTTCTTAGTATAATCCGCCTCCTCTGTCTTGGTGGCCTACCCATTCATTTTAAATATTAATAATAAAAAATAAAAACTCAGCGCATTTTCATGGAACATGATTTGATACAGAGTTTTATTATTTAGGCCTTCAAATCATTTCAAAAGTAATAATAGCTAATATAATAACAATGATAATAATAATGTATTATAACAATAATAATAACACTAGCCCATATTTTTAACATTCTTATTTAATTGGCTCAGTGGAGCTAATTCATTAACTTGCAGTAATTCGTTAGGAACTTGAGCATCTAACTTAAATATTTAGTGACATTAATGAATAATGTGAGACTTGAGCCACTTATTAATCATTATACTTGGAAGTGACGCTGTGTTAGCCTACTATTTAATGTTTAATACATAGCCTACTGTAGGCTACATATAAATAACATCAGTACATTCGATTGTTTCATATGGCGGTAGGAAAGCACACGGCCAAGCTGACTGGTCCTAAGTGTGTGACTGTCAGCAATGAGGGGGGCTGCCCAAGTCACCGGCTGACCAGGGCGACTCCCCGAAGCAGATCCCAGCTGTGCGCTACCTCAGACAGCTCCTCATCCCGCGGCCGTCGCTGCGCTCACTGGGGCCTGATCAAGCGGATAGAGGCGAAGGAGCTGTCCGAGGTGCTGCTTTACGCAGCATAAAGCTTTCGCCTGTAACTGAACGTCTTACCACTGAATATAGCATTAACATACGTTATTAAAACGAGTTCAATCATCTCTTTTGAGCAACCCACTGTCTGTTTTTCTGCCCCTGTGTCCAGAACTGACTGTAAATAGACTAAGTCACCATTTTGTTTCAATTAGTCAACTTCAGGGCACACTAGACTAAATAATGCGATCACTGTAGTACAACCAACTTTAATGTCTTTAATGGGCAGGATGATTTCAGCTACAGTGCACCATAACATACATAACATAACATACACAACATAACATACATAACACAGTGCTGTGACGTCAAATATGACAGAATGTTTTTGAGTTAGTAGTGGGGCAGACAGGCAAAACAGTTGTGTATTTTATGACTGAAGCATGAAAGTTTCAGTAGCCTTTATAATGTACATAGCCTAAGGTTTTATTTGAGACAGGCAATTTATATCTGACCTTTGGTGACTTTGAGAGGTCATTGACCTCAGAATTGCATTTTTCCATTTTTTTCCCCATTTCTCCTTTATAACCATGTATATCTTTGCCAAAATTGCATAAAGATGCTTATTTACTGCTGTGGCCATGTAACATAATTTTGCTTAGAGCAGCAATTTTGCAGTGGGGCTGCAAACCCAACCATTTCCAGGTGTTAAGGTAGCTATGGCTTGTTAAAAACACTGACAACTTCTGCTGTGTATTGTATGGAATTACATGACTAGCTAGCACATAAGTGAACACTTATGGACTACACTCATTACTCATGGTTCGTAGAAGCAGTGGAGAAAGTTCCATGCTTCAGTCATAAAATGCACAACACCTTCCATATACGTACGTGCAAGCTTATCTGCTGCACTATAGTATCTATTGTGTGAGCTGCGCTGTAAATCTGGAAGCGTGGCACTTTCTGATAAATGCATTGGCTCAGCTGAGCTGGAAGAAGAGAATTTATCAGTTGTGATTTTAGAATTAGCTGATAACGGTTCAGTTTAGTGAGACAGTCTACATCATGAGGAGAGTCCAGTCATGCAGCGTTCAGAGTCTACTGACGTGCATGAGCGCCCTCTAATGGACTTCTTACTTCCTTGCGTGAACACTGGTTTGGCTGTGGTGAAATAAACCACATCGCCATTAATAGACTTTCTTTTGGACTTCATTATTTATAGCAAAGAGATAGATTTGGCACAGAGATCACGAACACCGCACATTAAGAGGGTGGTGGATAATATTGTCAAATAAAAAAGCTGCTATGACTTCATCTAAATTCATGCTAATCTTGCAGTAGCCTATATTGCAGGAATTTGCTGCCGAACTAAGAGGAAAAGAGTAGTGTGATGATAGTATTTTAAAATAAATTGGTTGTTTTCCTAGGAAACCATCATGGAGGTATTTTTCAAAACTGGCCTCATACTTAACAGTTATTCGTTATGGTGTTGTTTGCCTAGAAGTGCACATTCACAAGCAGTATATCATTTATTTATATATCATATTATCTCTTTTCATATCATACAAGTTGCTTAGTAAAATCACGGACCACAATCAGCACCCTTTTTTTCCTTATATATTTTCTTCCGTCTTTAACACAATCTAAGCACTGCAGATTTGTCCTTCCCTTATCATTTCTGCAAATCCGTAGAGCAATATTTGGCCAGCCCACAGACCTACTCCATCCAATCGCGTATTGTAGGGAGGAGTGAGACGGTTCTCTTAAAAGTTGCATCCTTGCCTGACTTACACATTACTCTAAGAGCAAATCTAGAACCGGCAAAATGGTTGAATGGACAGACTTCGAGCGCGCCACCATCCAGGACATCTTCTCCAAGATGAACTATGAGGACGTGGGCCCCGCTGCTCTTTCCAGGTGTCGCATCTTTTCTGTTCTGTTTGTTTTGTTTTTCCTTAACATGCAAGGGCAAAACTAAATGTTTGCATTAGAGATTTGTGCATTAACACTGTCATTTTTCGAATTTCAAGTTATGCGTTTCCTTATACGTTTGCTCAGGTGCCTGGTTGTCTACCCCTGGACTCAGAGGTATTTCGGCGGATTTGGAAACCTCTACAACGCCACTGCCATCATCGCTAACCCTATGGTTGCAAACCACGGAAAGGTTGTCCTGCACGGTCTGGACCGGGCTGTGAAGAACATGGACAACATCAAGGAGACCTACGCTGAGCTGAGTGTGCTGCACTCCGAGAAGCTGCACGTGGACCCCGACAATTTCAGGGTAACATAATGTGGAACAAATGAGATTTGAACTGTTGTCTACATTCAGGGATTGTCCCTAAAGACTTCACCAGTGTTGCTGCTGTTTTGTGATTCATGTTGTGTTGTGTTGCAGCTGCTGTCCGACTGCCTCACCATCGTGATTGCTGCTCGGATGGGTAATGACTTCACCGGTGATGTCCAGGCAGCTTTCCAGAAGTTCCTGGCCGTGGTGGTGTCCTCCCTGGGAAGGCAGTACCACTAGAGAGCTGCAGCACAAGAGAAGACCATCGCACGCTGGATCATGTTTTTAAAAGCTCTTTTTTTAAAATCATGCCTCTAAAGCAGAAATAAATAAAACAATAAGCATATTCAACACGTCTGTTTGGATCCTTTCAAAGTTTAAATATCACAATGTGAAAAATAAGATTCAAGTCCTGCATTAAACATTTCACTTAAGTGAAAGCACACCAGTAGATTAATATCAGCATAATGTGCATAAATATGAATAATACAAATAAAATGACAAATTTTGCAGAATGTCCCATTTCAAAAGGTTACATCAATCAATATATTACATGGTCATTTTAAATTGTGGTGTGTGCGTGAGTGTTTGATTGCTGTTGTGTGTGTAAGTCTATAAGTCTGTGCATAAGGATGTGTGCATCACACTCACACACTACCCACGAATATAGTAAAACAAGACGCTACACACACACACACACACACACACACACACACACACACACACACACACACACACAAAAATCATTATTATTATTACTATTATTGCACAAAGAAAATATAAATAATAACACTAATGCACTAATGCATATAATTATGCATTAACATACACGCAGATAGGCCTATATATATATATATATATATGTGTGTGTATGTAGGCCTATATATTCATATGATATATATATAGTTATAACAAGGCCCAGACACACCTAGGGGGGAAGGAGACTACGCCGGGGGGACGGGGGTACGGGTGGCGGGTGTTGGGGCGCCACCCCAGGATCCGCCACCACCCAGCTCTTCTTCACGCTCTAGCGTTCAGGTCGGTGAGGCAGGCGTGACCTCCACGTGGATTGGGCGACGCATGGGAGCAAATCGTTCCTACTTCTGGACGTTAGCGTATTATACAACCATATAAATACATAGATATATATGATATAGTATATAATCTAATACACTAATATATGACTATATATATATTTGCACATACATATATACATACATACATACATATAATATGTGTATATTTTTACTTGCGAGTTTGTATATAATTAGTAGTTTTTAATGAGTTTGTAATATTGATATATTATATTATTAATTATTATTATTATTTGTTATTATAAAAAATACATATAATAATAGTAATAATAATATTTTAAAACGTGTCTGCATAATGACTCCTTTTACCTTTTTAGTGCCTGCTGATAATGTTACTTCAGTAAAAGTGAATGCATATGAATGCATCGTGATATTGCAACTGACTAGTTTCTAAACAGGTTTGCACTTAACATACAGTGCATAGAACATATAGAGTATATTGAACTATAGGCCTATATAAGTGTATTTGTCGTAATACTAGTAGTATAGTAGTACAGATATACAGTTCATTAAATTTCTCACAGTTTAATGTGTGTTAGGTCTTTTGCATTAATTCTGTCAGAGAAACGTCTTTTGAAGTTTTACGCAGTCCTTCTGTTTAAATATTCATATAGCTTGTAGAAATAATAATGTTGAAATATTGCTGATATGTGTTTCAGTCCCACTGAATTGATGGCACGTGCGCTGTTACCCTGACCTGACCTTAACCTGACTTATAATCAATACCTACGCGGGAGAAACTCACTCAACCACACAAACAACCATGACACGTTTGATTGCATTTGATCATTTATTCATATAATGACTGACAGAGGGAATCAAAGCCCCCGTGCTCATGTCTGTCATCTGCTACTGCTCCTGTTCGCAGTTTATCGGTATTTCTCAGACAGGGACCGAGCCAGGGCAGCCAGGAACTTGTCCATAGCCACATGGACCTCAGGGGTGAAGTCTTTGGGGAACATGATGGCCAAGACCACGAGGATGTTGTGGGACAGGATCTGTGGAAAAGTGATAATAACATTTAATTGTTAGTCCAGATCACATGAGGCGATATCTTAGCTCAAACCAGCATCTACTGTGCATCACTGACGTTCAGCTTCTGGTCTTCTCCCACACAGCAGCAGCACATGCATCTACTGCATCTAAATCTTTTCTTAGGTGTGCTACCATTAGACTCACGTGATAAAACCCTGTTGTTCGACATGGGTCTATAAGTTTGTTTTGGTTTTTTTATGTCTAACAAAGTTAATTTTATTCCAGTTGCCTCAAAATAACTTCATGCTTGGCTTCAGCACCATGGACAGTGAAGGTGAGGAAGCTGGTGCTCTCACTTTTAAGAGACGGGTTCTCGGCGCACGGCGGCCCCATTCGACCATCTTATCTGACTTGTGCAGTGAAGGCATCAGAAGCCTATTACAAGTCTCTAGTTTATAGAATCATTATTCGTGACACCGTTCAGTTTGGGTCTGTACTCCGACACACTGGGTTTCAAATGAAGCACAGTTTTAAGACTTTTGGATTGTGTAGGACCAGATTATATCTCCTGTTCACTCAGTAAAGCACCATTGAATAAAAGCTGTGTCAAACTTTCAGTTCAAGTGCAATGTCCTTAAGTGGTCTACAAAGCAATAGGCAGAAAACCCAGCCACGTGTTAGTCACCAGCAGTGACATCTACCTTGAAGTTAGCAGGGTCCACCCTCAGAGTGAAGGCATGCAGCTCACTGAGGTTCAGGAGACCTCCTTTCAGGTCGTCGATTTTGGACACAGCATCAGCGACTCCAGACATCACGGTGATTCCATGCTTCCTCACGGGGGCAGAGCCGGGGCTCAGGTCCTTCCAGTGGGAGAAGTAGGTCTTGGTCTGAGGGTAGACCACCAGCATCCTGGGTAATAAACGGGAATAAACGAGTGAGTGATAAATGGACAGAAAAAAAAGCGTAACAGCATTTTAAGAGCAGATTGCATGAGTTAGTTCACGGGTCATATTTACCTGGACAGAGCGTCAGTGCCGATGTCCTCAGCCTTTCCAGAAATTTTAGCCCAGAAGGCCTTGACTGTGTCCTTGTCCTTAGCAGTGAGACTGGTCATCTTGCCTGTAGATTGTTTGGTTGAAGTTGAATACCGCGATCAGTCCAGACTGAGGGGGTTTTATATAGGAGCCTAGGTCATGAAACAGGGCATGGGCACGCCCGGGCCACCTCTGAGATAGGCTGTGTGGCATTTGGACGGGATCCAAATGATATGTAGCAGCTTGCATGAGATAAACAAACACACACATACACAATACTTCTCATGATGGCCCCGAAAGACTTGTATGAAAAACACAAAAGAATACAAGTTAACATATGTAATTTTCATAAGGTGTCTACCCATCAAACTCAAGAAATGTATTAAATTCAGTTTTAAAGCATCTGAAACACAAATATCCAGTAACAGCCAGTGCAATCTACGAATGTGCAGGAGCTTTAAAGGGTTCCTGTATTAAAATGTTCAGGGAAATTTATAATGAATAGGTCAGTAAGCAATGTGGGCTCCTGTGTGCAACCTCAGCTTAAATCGTTTCAGATTTGTGCCAAACTGGAAATAAGCTTTTAGGTTCCATTAGAAGAGTTAACACCACCCTGAAGTGATATATTTCTTTATTCATCTTTCATTTTGGACCGAATCCAAAATCTCTTTACTCTTAACCGCAGATTAAATAAATCGAAAATATATCTTTGACTCTGATTTTATAGCCATTTCTCCTCAGTAATGACAGAGTTTTTAAATTTCCCACAGTAAAAACTTTTAGGTTCATTGTTTACGACACGTCACCAAAATAAGTCTGCTTCATTTAAAGCAAAAAAACCCAAACTAACTAGGCCTAATAAAGGTGAAAATCCTAATGTTATAATATAGAGAGCAGATATGACCAACATATAGATGTATGAAACGTTCAATCTATTCAGTGTAAACATCTGACAGTGACAGTCTGCTCATACTGATTTAAAATCCAGGCGCTGCAATTGATTAATATTAAAAGATTTGGTTATCAGCTGGGACCAAGACGATGACCGGGGTCATCTGCGGTGAGGCTCGCTGTGTGTGTGTGTGTGTGTGTGTGTGTGTGTGTGTGTGTGTGTGTGTGTGTGTGTGTGGCTTATCTAAACCACTACTGACGCCTTCAAAGGGTGGATCCGCGATAAATGTTAGAGTAACTGTTAGAGTAATTTGCTGGTACAAACTGCAACATATTGGTGTGGGTGACATAGTATTGTATTTCACTAATTGTCAGCTTGGATTAACTGGCTCTTTAATATAAATTACGTCATACGTCACTCTCTGATTGATTGACTCTCTTGATGATTGACTCTGCTTTGTAATGTTAACCCTATTGGATGCACAGTATATAACAGGGGTATTCAATTAAAATTCAAAGAGGTCCAGTTACAAAAATGTCCTCCCAGCAAAGGTCTGAATCTTATATTGTCACTCGAAATAGTGCACCCTGATGTAAATAAAAAACAACATATGTACTTTTCTCATTTATCATTTATTGTCAAATTTCAAGTGTTTTCAATATACTTTAAACATACCGATAAGTCTGAACTTGTATGGCAATTGAATGGAAAACATGACTGTAGTTGTCTTTACTACACTTCAAGTAACTGAATTTCTTCTGAATAAAATAAATAAAAAGTGCAAACACAGCTTTGAGCAGCCTGAACTTAGGGTAATGTAAAAACATTCAGAATCTTTTGAATAAAATAAAAGTGCATCTTTAAGAAAAAATGCCCACCCCCTTTTTTAAACATGTATTAACTACATTTAAAATAAAATAACACAGGAACCTTAATGCCTACATTTCAAGTAAAATAGAACAGGGCAGAATTTACTGAGCAAAAGAAAAGTGCAGAGCTTTGAGCAGCTTCCTTTCTCCTCTCTCCTCTCCTTCCTCCTTTTCCAACTTCCTTTCCTAGTGAGAGAAATGGGCATGTAACTTTCCTGCCAGCAGTTTGAATCTTGGCTTAAATGGGGTTAGTGCCATTCTCATGCTCATGTGGAGATGCTCATTGGTAAGCCTGGAACAGTACTTTGTTTTAATAATGTTCATCGTAGAGAAAGCTGTCTCACAGCTGTAAGTTGATCCAAACATGGTTAAGGTGTGTAGTGCTACTTTGGTTAGACCAGGGAAAATGGTTTCAGGCACAATCTCTAACCAGAAAGTAGCAGAGTCAGTTGTTTCAAAAAGCTCTCTCAGAGCAACATCTGCTTGCAGATCAGTGAGCTCTAACTGTAAAGATCCAGGATGTGCCCACTTGAAGGTCTGTGTCACCTCCTTTGAAAATCCTCTGATTTCTCTGATAAGGAATGGATTCCTGATTAGCAGGAGGAGCTGGTGTCCAAGGTTGAAGCTGTCAAATCAATGACAGAAGTTTCCAATCAGCTTGTCTATGAAGCTGACATAAGGGGAAATGTCCCTCTTACCCTGAATTTGTTCCTACATTTGTGGGAAGTGCTCACACTCTCCTTGGAGATCTTCTTTGAAAATGTCCAGCTTCATCTGGAAGGAGCGGACAGTTTTCATCAAATCACAGACAGAATTTTTCTGACCCTGCAGCTTTAAATTGAGCTTATTAAGGTGTCCTGTGATGTCCACCAAAAAAGCCACCACATCCATCTTGTTGTTATCTTGCAAAAAGTTTGCAAACTGTGTTGCTTTTTGTCTCTTGAGCTGCTGTAAGAAAGCAGCTATTTCCTTTTGGATGGACCAGAAGCATCCCAGTGCATTCCCTTTGCTTAGCCATCTCACGTTGTTGTGGAGTAGTAGGTCATTTGCATCTGCCTCCATTTCTTTCAGAAATTCTCTCAGCAGTCGATGCTGATGGGATGAGGATGCCCTGAGGAAGTTGATGAGTCTCATCATGGTATTCATTACTTCAGCAAACTCTTCAGACAGAATGGCACAGAGAACAGTCTGGTGGATGATACAGTGGTAGGCTATGAGATCAGGGTTGTCTTGTTTCATCCGTGCCACAGCCCCCTTCTCTCTACCAACCATGGCAGGTGCACCATCCGTGGTGACTGAGACTATTTGCTTCAGATTAATCTTTTTTGTGAGCATCTCTTTTATCCCCTCATATATATCCTCTCCTCTCGTGTGTGTCTCAAGTGGCATTAAACCCAACAAGTCCTCACACATCTCTTTCTTCTCTTTGTGAAGAAATCTCACATACACCAAAAGCTGGGCATTATCTGTTACATCTGTGGACTCATCAATGGCTAAGGATATGCATACTGCGTTTTGAACAGCTGCATCAGGCTGCGCCAGTACATCCTCTGCTAATAGTTCAGATTTTCTGGTTGTTGTTGAAGCTGACAATGGGATTTGCTTGATTTTTTCACACATGTCGTTTTTTTGTTTACCGTCAAGTAAAGTCTCTGCAGCCGCATTTAAGCACTCCTTCACCACTGTCCTATCGCTGAATGTTTCTTGTGTTGCGCCAAAATCCACGCAATCTTAAGTGAACACTCATCTGCACGTTGCTGGCCTGTAAGGACACGGGTAGACCGGTCATACTGTGCTTTCAGTTCGATCATTTTACTTGCCCTCACTGCGGACTTCTGCAATCTTCTTCATCAAACGATCCGTGTTTGGTCTCATAGTGACGCTTAACGTTGCTACTTTTTATTAACGCCACAGTTTCACAGCAAATGAGACACACAGGTTTAGAACTGGCTGCAGGCAGGACGAACATGTATTGGTCCGTCCATTCCTCTTTAAAAGTTCAGTTTTCACTGTCTACTTTTCTCATTTTTGAGCAAGCCTCTCTCTCTCTCTCTCTCTCTCTCTCTCCTGGTGCTGAAAGGTAAACAATCGATTTTATTAGCTTGGCTATTGATGACGTTTCTGTCGTATTAACTAAATTAGCATTCTTTTATTAGGCCTAATATTATAATTATAATATAATTTTCACGGGTCCGGGCAGAGCCGTGACTGGGTCCGTGCCCGGACCGCGGTCCGCCATTTGGTGATGCCTGGTATATAACATACTCATTAAAACCTGTTTCAAGTCCTGGTTCTGTTCACATTGGTAAAAAAAAAAAAAAAAAAAAAACCGCACTGCAACAGCTGATTCAGCTCAGCTGCCGTGGGCGGAGAATTGAGGGACAAGGGCGTGAAAACAATCGGCTGCGGCTCACATCTGGAGACAGTCATTCACACAGTCACACACACACACACACACACACCAGTGTGTTGCATGGACAGATGCGTCACTGCAGAGGTCTGATATGGACCCTCTCACCTTCACCAGGTAAAATACACAATCTATTCAACCATTTACTAACGTCATAACTCTGGGTCTGCATTTTCAAGGGATAGGCTATCCTTTCACAGGTGTGTAACTGAACCCACAAAACCTTTCACAATAGACCTTTTTCTTTTTTCATCTCTATGTGGCTCGTTAAAATGACTCACACCTTTATTTAACCTTTGCAACTCTCCCAGTCGCACAGGTCCTTACGTGTTGATGTGCCAGAACAACAACACTTATTTAATAAGTTGTGTAAAAAATATTGTGAGTAATTTTATTCTTTTCTACGTGAAACTTATATTGCATATGCAAATTATCACTTTTTGGTTGTCGTTAGATTTGCTCACTGTTTTTGCATGACCAAAACCCGTTCAAAATGTTCATAAATTGCCCCAATAGGGTGCTGGGTCCTTGTCCATAGATTTGGTCATGCATAACATGCACAAAAAAAAACATCATCCTCTTGCATTTAATGGTTTTCTCTCAGACCCCTTCCTTTGATAAAGAAAGTCTGATTCTCTTCTATATGACGTGGAAGCCCCACGCACTGATTTGGATGTTGGCACGATATTTGAAAATTCAAAGCTTTGGCTCAGGACCCAGTATAAGCGCCAAACTGATCAGCTGGTGCTACGATACAGAAGATAACATTATAGACGGTGACATTACAGAAAAATATTGTGAATTCTGAGGAGTTTAGACAAATAATGCTGCCACCATGTTTTAGTAAAATGTGTATTTTTCGTGTGAGTGAATCACAATTCATTAACTTGTGGCAAACATTATTTGCATATTAGTGTTCAGTGTTAAACTCCATGGATCTCAAGAGTGAGCGCAGGCTGCTTGACCTCATATGATAGTGTTGGAGCGCCCTCTAGTGGACCTGCAAACGCCAGTCCGCCTTCCACCATCTTTGTAGTCCTACATGCTCCATCCTTTATGTAGGTATTGCATGAAGTGTTGTGGTCTTCTATTGTATGGGTACATGATGATTCAGAGAAACAAATTCACCTCTAGGCTAACAGCGTGAATCATTACTGAGGATGAGAAGAGCAGAAGACATGGAGGGATCAGCTGATCCTGCAGAGGCCGCAGTGAGCTGTCCGGGGTGCTGCCCTCCCTGACCGTGCGTGCATTCATAACCGCCGCTAGAGGGCAGCTCCAGCCCATCACTCAACCTGTTTATTCATCACTTACAGAGAAAGTGTTCCTTGTTGTAAACTCCGCTCATGTTCTTCTGTAGGAGAACAGTCTCCTCTGAGCCTTATCCTTTTCCCCAAGACAATAAAACTCTGAGCCTACCTTCTGTCTCCTGCCTCCTTTTACTGCGCCTGCTCTTACAGTACATTCATATACATCCACATACCTGACACTGTTTGTGATGACTCATCTTTTCCATAAAAAATAATCAAAGTACAGTTTTGCCGTACCAACAATATTATATCACCATACAAGTTAAACAGCACAGTTAAATGTTATAAGTTCGCTAACTCTCTGGTGTGAGAGGAGAGCAATGCTGTATTTTGGTTGAGTACAATAAATCAGATCATGGGACACACCTTGAAATGGATTTAACATCTCCCCTTTCACTTCAATTCACCCCTTCGAACAAGGATACGAATAAACATCCTAGATTTATTTTTACATCATCTGTTGTGATTCATTAAGTATTGACTGTCACTGTGTCAATTCTTTGAAGATATCTTTCATGGATTTAAAAAGCAGTGTTCAACATAGGGAAGCACGCCACTAGAGCTCCTCACTGGATATGATGGTTGTAATGAAGTCTTAAGCAGGACAAGCACCTCACTGACTGGAGGACTGAGGTGAAAAGTCTTCTGAGCAGACATCACTGTCTGCATGTTAAACTGAGGACAATGACTGTGCAGGGACAGCATGCATTACCTCAGAACATCCTGCTGTGAAATAACCCACCTGAGGTGAGGACCTCCGTTATCAACCATCATCTTCACCCGATGTGCCACTCAAGCTCCGACTGATTTTTGTTGCAGTTCGGTCTCATCTGAGTTCCTTGGTCAATCTGTGGGCCTCCTGGCACGGTGCAGGACTCTGTATGGACTGACAAAAATCGAAAAAATACAAGTAACTGGTTTTGAAAGATAAGCTGTCAGGGTTTGCGAGGTAAGTTGGAGACGGTGCAGGCAGGTTTATTTAACAAAGAACAGACATGAACTGACGTGAACAAACCATGAACTAAACAGACGAACCAACACAGACAAAGGGGAGCACAGAGACTATATAGACACAGAAGGCAAGGTGATTGCATACAGGTGAAACACATTAGGGCGGGGCAGACAATCACTACACAGAAACGAGACCAAGACAAGAAGCAAAACACAGACACACAATGAAACCAATACAAAATAAAACAGGAAGTGCAAAAAGTCCAAAATAAAACTAACAAAAAGTGTCTGCCATGGCAAAACATGACATAAGCAACTAAACACTGATACAGTGTTCCTTCCTATGAAAGCAGATGTTGAATTGAATGAAAGGTAATTATACCATCACTAAAGTATTGATACAGCTGATAAGTCATTCAGGAATACGCCATCAATTAATGAACATATGTAAAGTGGTGTTTTTTATGCCAGTGAGCCCATTTTGATTTGTTGTAGCTGTAGTCCTGCTGAGAACCTCTGGGGGACTTCAACCCCATATTGAAGAATAAGAACTATTGAAATGAGACCTTGCATGATAGGCAACACAGGACACGAAGACAAACACACAGCAACACAGGGTTCAAACATGACTTTTATTTATTTTTGTCTCTCCTCTTCAGTCGTACTGACTGCTCATCGCCTCGACCACAGCAGACAGAAATTTCTGCCAGGTCGCTTGGGCCTGAGGGTCTAGCGCGCTCTTGAGTTTGCAGGCGATGGTAATGGTGATGCAGTCGGCCAACAGCTGCGGACAAAACGAACACACATATGATGAGTCGATGCTGTGCTGTTTGGATGTTTTTTTTTGTTGTTTGTTTTGCTCTAGGTGTGAGGACATGTAGCCCATATCGCCTACTCGGAAGGTATCCGGGTCCACTTGGAGCTTCTCGTAGTGCAGCCGGCTCAGAGCAGCGTATGCGCCTCTGATGTTGTCCATGTCCTTCACCGCTGTGTCCAGCGCCTTCAGCACCACTTTGCCGTGGGCTGCTACTTTGGCGTTATTCAAAACAGCAGTGGCATTGAAGATATCTCCAAACCTACCGAAATAGCGCTCGGTCCAGGGGTAGACGATTAAAACTCTCAAAACATAAAACAAAAAAAAACACGCGTTAAACTCTGAATATTATTTAACTAAGAGAGATTTGCCTCTTACAAACACAAATGAGGATATATGATGATTTTAGACTTTCGCAAAAAAGACAAAGCAACCAATTGGCAAATCAGAGGGTTAATTGTGAGAAAATCTTCTGAATTTTAAACATTAAACAAACAGGATAATAAATCTTGCCATTTCACAGTCAAACACACTTTAAAAGGAAAATTCATACAAGCTTCTTTCTTATCAGGCCCACAGGCGATAACAACATCTATAAGATGATATGAAATGTGTCCAGTCACATCCTCTACCTTGCCAAAGCTTCTGGTCCAACCTCGTCGATATGAACTTTTTCCCAGACATCTTGGACCGTGCTGCGCTCCTTGTCTGTCCACTTGACCATGACGTCAGCGTATAGCCTGATCAATACATTGAACTGAGGAATGATCAGTTCTTCTGTTCGATAACCCCGCTGCGACAAGACAGCAGAGAGAAAGACGTGAGGGGGCTCCTGATTTCAGTGCACACACTACAGGATGATGATGATGATGATGGTTAACTGAGCAGCTCTCAGTATCAGAACCATGTCGCTGATACCTGCACCTGATCGAATGTGTAAAACACTAGCAGCGTCCTGGCAGTAAAAAAAAATTTAAAAAATTGTTGTTTTCACATTAACATAATATGTCAACTTTCCAATTTCCCTTGGCCCTGCTCTACCTACTGCCAGAGGCTGTTAAACTTAGATTATGGTAAGACTTCACTATCTGAACATCCAGGTTCCCCCACGCCCAAATAAATTATCTACGGCTCCAACACTTAATATCAATAAAGTCGCCGTCATGCATCAGCTGTCTGTCCATGATAGACGGTCATGTCTTGTCCCCAAGTGACCTGATGTGGCTAAATTTGTTTTTTAAACCGCAGATATAAACGCAGGACAAATGTTGCTTTCATGCACCTGCAATAAGTTAATTAATTTAATAGAATAAGGCTTCTGTAACAAAGCACAGCACAACCCTAGTTTCAATGGAGCACATCTCGGAAAAAGACTTGCATTTACATGTATTTATGACAAGCAGGATAAACAAACAAAAATAGGCAGTGCAGACACTTTGTTTACAGTGGGCTCTAATGAAACGAAATTTAATATTCATTTATTGACGTCAACCTTTTTTTTTTTTTGTCAGTACCACACATAATATAAAATACCGTTATCGCCACATTAAGATGACCGCACCTGTTTGGACCAGCTGATGCCCAGGGTGCTTTCAAAGACGAAGAAATAGACCTGACAGTTTAAAGTGGCAAAGTGTTTGTTTTTTTTTCCTCCAGTATAAGGTCGTAATGTTATAATTCAGTTTAACACAAATCCATTTTTCATATCCAACACCACAAAACAGTAGAGAATCACCTGTTTTTCATTATAGCCATGGACTGATAGCTCACACAGAGACATGCAGAATATATTTTCAGTTTTCATTGACATTGGGGAAATTGTCCTCCAGTGAATTCATATAAATCTATGTATGGTAGTGAAACCCAACAACACGACCATTTTGCAGTAAAATGAATTAAATCTTGATAAAATATTAATTTTATGTTTTTGCGAATGCTCACTCAGAGATGTGTTTGAGTTTGTATTGGTGGGTTTGGCTTCAGCTGCAGGTAACAACTGTGAAACTACAGGACTAGACAAAATGTTCATTTACATTAAATAATATCATTGGACTGTTATTATCTGGATTTTTAAACTTTTCATGCTGAAGATTGAAACCCATCATATAATTAAATGCTTGTAGGATGTTTTTATTTTGTAGAAATTCACATAAATTTTTGTAAGAGAAATTTGAATTGAGAGCCATGAAGTTTAAGCAAAGTGAAAACTTTTTTAAAACTTTTACAAATGATCACACACAAAAAAAGATGCATTTCATTTGAGTTTTATTCCATGTATTTGGCAACAGCTACAAGGCGGTATGTGAGACATTTTGGACACATTTGTAGAACTGCTGCAAATTATTTGAAGGTGAACTGCGTCTCCAGAGCCTCAGTGGTACTGTCTGCCCAGGGCAGAGACGACCACAGACAGGAACTTCTGCCAGGCCTCCTGGACATCAGCGGTGAAGACTTGTTTTCCAAACTTGGCAGCCACACACACGCTGATGCATTCAGCCAGAACCTAAAATGAGGCAAACAATAGGATGATCACATTAAGGAGACTGTCTGTGGTAGTCTAGCAGAACAACAACTGTTCATGGCGAAGGGTCTAGGCAGAGTCAGAGGTGTTAACATACCCTGAAGTTATCAGGATCCACGTGGAGCTTCTCAGAGTGCATCGCGCTCAGCTTGGCGTAAGTGTTCTTGATGTCGTCCAAGTTCTTCACGGCATTTTCCAGCCCACCCATCACGGTCTTACCGTGCTGGGCCACCTTGGGGTTTCCGAGGATGGCGGCATTGGTGGACACGTTGCCAAATGTGGTGAAGTGTCTCTGAGTCCATGGATACACAATCAGAAGCCTGAAATGACACGAATCATAAGGACTTATAAATAAAAGTTCCCAAAAGTGATAAGTGACCCACAATAACAACAAAGGTAGCCTGTACAAAGTTCCAAGAAAATACCAATAATAATAATAATAATAATAATAATCAGCTCAATGAGACACAATGAGATCCCACTAAAAACATACATTAAAATAATAGTGCTATTAGAAAACATATATTTGTATCTGTGAATCGAAATGAACAGACAGGTCACCTGGTCAGAGCCTGGGGTCCAATTTCACCCACATCAATCTTTCCCCACAGGGAAATGATGGCGGAGCGCTCAGCATCTGTCCAATCGACCATGGTGACGGTATGAAAGTTTCGTCCGACAAAACTAGTTTTCTGATCACAAGCCTTCTTATCTGAATACTAATGTGTGAGATTTCAATTTTTATCCATTACTGAACACTCCGCCTCTCAGCCCAGGGACCATCTGATTGGACAAGTTGCATCCTCCAACGAATGGCGTTCACTTATTTAGGCTACGTCGAAAAAATTGGCAACGATCAGTGCCAGTCCAGAAGACAGACGTGTTCTTGGATTAAAATGATCCCATATGGTTTAGATAAGACCATCTAAAAAAGCCTGTAAGGATATCACTGTTATTTTCCAGTTGCAAGAGTTTCCAGTTGCAAATATACAGCAGGCCTATGTAGACGAAGTTACTAGTTACAATCTAATGCATTAATTAGTCCCGCAATAAATTCTGCTTTCATGAAGGTTATAATATTTTTGAATCGTTTCAGAGAGATGTTCACATCATTTTCGTAAAGTGTCATTTTCTCTTGCTATTGACTGTATTGCATTACACAGAGCGGTGTGTTTACAGTCTACCCTCACTGTGATAACTGGGGTGGACAAAATAGCAGAAACACCTGTTGCTGTTTCCAAAACTTTGACTCGATACATTTTTTCTTGAGACATTGTAGCTCTTTTATATTATGACTTTTCCCACAAAATGACACTTTATTCTCGCAATAGCGCCACTTTAATGAGGAAAAATGACAGCGGCTATAATGAGTTAGTTATCCACAAGACACTCTCTAAAATTGCAGCAGATGACTGAGGTGACAGTTGGGTGATATATGGGGAGTGGTAACTTTTATCAAATAAAACTGGCAATGAAAACATCTAGAAACTTTCTTTATCGGACGGAGGGTGTGGTTTGGATTTGATACATGGGCGTGGTACCATTTGGTTTGATATAAAGACACTAATCCACAATCCACATCAACAGCATTTTTTGATCCACATTTTTCTCAATTCCTGACAACTGCAAAGGAGCCATGAGTCTCACAGCGAAAGACAAGACCGTTGTGACGAAGTTCTGGGATAAAGTTGAGGGGAAGTCCGCCGAAATTGGTGGCGAAGCTCTGGGCAGGTAAGATCCATGTCATGAATACTATAATATTAATGTGACACTGCTGTAATGTATCCTACATAATCTCCATTTATCCGTTTTCTTATTCATTCATTCTCTTTGTTCATATTCTTTAGGATGTTGGTCGCCTACCCGCAGACCAAGGCCTACTTTTCCCACTGGGGGTCCGACCTGAATCCTCAGCACCCAATGGTGAAGAAACATGGTGCAATTATCATGGGGGGCATAGGCAAAGCCGTCAAAAACATTGATAATCTTACCCGTGGTTTGAGCGCCCTCAGTGAGCTGCACGCCTTCAAGCTCCGGGTGGATCCCGCCAACTTTAAGGTGAGATCAGGACAGATGAGTGTCAGGAGGTAGTTGAAGTTGAGGATAATAATAATAATAACAACAATACTACTACTACTACTACTACTACTACTACTACTACTAATAATAATAATAATAATAATAATAATAATTGTATTCAGTCGTTCTTACCCCCAACTCTGTTTGAGTTGGATTCAAACGTTGATGCAACCTAAACCTTAAATATAACAACTACACACATCTTTTCGTGTCTTTCTTGGTAAAAGAACACCCGGAATTTAGGCATGACTCCCAATCATGACTGACTTCAACTAATCTGTGTTTCTTCGCGCAACCGCAGATCCTGGCCCACAACGTCATCCTGGTTACGGCCATGTACTTCCCCGCAGACTTCACTGCAGAAGTCCACGTCTCCGTTGACAAGTTCCTGCAGAGAGTGGCTTTGGCTCTGTCCGAGAGATACCGCTAAGCCCTGCAGCGACCCAGGAGCATCGACTGCCTCCAGGTGGCAGCTCATCCAACAGCGTCAACAACCCAACAACCCTGCCCATGTGTAGGGATTAGTTCAATAAAAATACAAACATCAAAATGTCCAAGTGTCGGTTTCTTTTTAGTCTTAGAAAAAATCATTTTCTCATTTACCTCGGTCCTTATGTCCAACCATGTAACCATGATGCTTCATGCAGCCTTATTTCATAAAGTCGATCCACTTAAGGCCACGACTGAAGCCTGGTAATCAACATATAGGCTATTATCAATAATGTTATGAAAAGTTATCATATACACACCTTTTATGACAAGAACAAAGCATGTAGGCCTATTTTCCCGTTGTGGGGATAATAGACCACATTATCCCCATCACTGTATCCCGCGTGGAGCCCACATCTGTGTATTTGTAAGCTATTTCATTTTTGTAGGTGTCTGCTTGATTGCTGATTTCACACACACACAATTCGCCAGGGGCCCCTAACTAACCCCCAGAGGTGGAAAGTTACAAAATACATTTACTCACATTTTTTAAGTACAATTTAAAATCGGTATTTTGTATTTTACTTGAGTACGTTTTGACTCAAGTATTGTACTTAGTTACTTTATAAATCCTATCCGTTACTGAGTAAAAATAACAATTCAACCTACAGGGGAAAAATACGCGCCAGAACCATAGACAGTAAAACAATGGCCAGAACCAACAGTGACAAATGATGAGGGTGAGAGAGAAAACGTGAGAGTAAGCATGTTTAATGTCTTACCACTAAATGGATGAGCTCAACTAACTTTAAGCTGCTACTTAACCTGAACAAGAAGTTCAGTTGTTGTGAAGTTGTTGTTATTGCACTTACATTTGTTACACTTGTTCTTTAATTAAAAACAAAATAGTTTTGGATTTCTGACCCCTTGTCCTATTTTTACTACCCTCACACCCCACACAAAGAAAGTAACTAAGTAACTTTTACTTAAAGTACATTTCAAATGAACTACTTTTTACTTTTACTTGAGTAGATTTTCAGATGAGTACTTTTACTTCTACTTGAGTAATATTTCATCAAAGTATTGGTACTTTTACTTGAGTACAATATTTTTGTACTTTTTCCACCTCTGCTAACCCCCTTGTTTTTTTTACACAAATGTGTCCAGCAATATGCACCAAGACGAGCAACGCAAGGAGACAAGTCAGCTCCCTTATTTCTGCTGATACTTTGCTTTAGTGGTGAATATTCCCAAATAAACAACCTCAAACAAAGGTTGTTAGAGTGTGCCTGACTCGGGACTGCACTTTGCCCGGTTGGTAATCCGGTCCTGCACAGAAGTGCAGTTGTATCTTGAGTTTTGAGATGTTAGTCCACAGTGCAGAGTCTGGATGTATTAATGCTGCCGCAGAGGGCTCACACACAGACAATGGGATCATTAGTGGGTGAGAGACTGACTGAGGCGCCCTCTGCTGGTCAAACATGAAGTTGAGATCTCAAGTCTGTGTGTTGGAGGCGTATCTCTTGATTCTGAGGACGCTGCAACAACATATTGATGATAGTAAAACTATTTAAGTTCACAAACATTTCCAGTATTATTTCAAACTGCACCAATAAGAGCAAAAAAACAAACAAACAAAAAAAACAAAAAACGACGTGAATTGTAGCTATTATATGCCTAAGTACACTGGACAGAGAGAGATAATTGTGCTGAACCACCACTAAAGCCCTGTTTCTATTTCTGTCTCGGAAACAATCTAGGTGGTGCAGATACTCTTATCATTGTTGCAAATCCACAACACAGCACTTGCCCGGCCCACCGCCCCTCCATTCGCACGCCTCTGGGAGGGGAGCAGAGCTGCTTTAAAAGTTGCATCTGGGGCCGGTGAGCACAGGATCTTCTGACCCGCACAGGAAAAACTTGAACCGGCAAAATGGTTGAATGGACAGACTTCGAGCGCGCCACCATCCAGGACATCTTCTCCAAGATGGACTATGATGACGTGGGCCCCGCTGCTCTCTCCAGGTGACACTTATTTCCTATTCTGCATGAATAATATTTAAGAAGTAACCTATTGTTAGTAACGTATGCACATGTTCGTTTTCTCAGCGTATATTTCATCTCTTGATCTAACCCCGTGGCATTTATGTGTGTGACTCGTTCGCTCAGGTGCCTGGTTGTCTACCCCTGGACTCAGAGGTATTTCGGCGGATTTGGAAACCTCTACAACGCCACTGCCATCATCGCTAACCCTATGGTTGCAAACCACGGAAAGGTTGTCCTGCACGGTATGGACCGGGCTGTGAAGAACATGGACAACATCAAGGAGACCTACGCCGAGCTGAGCGTGCTGCACTCCGAGAAACTGCACGTGGACCCCGACAATTTCAAGGTATAAGGCCGGGGAGCTGTTGTCGCTGTTTTATCTACATTTTATGGTTTTTTGTTGGTGTTGTTGTTTTTCATCAGAATCGCCTCACCTTTTTTTGTTGCTGCTGTTTTGTGATTCATGTTGTGTTGTGTTGCAGCTGCTGTCCGACTGCCTCACCATCGTGATTGCTGCTCGGATGGGTAATGACTTCACCGGTGATGTCCAGGCAGCTTTCCAGAAGTTCCTGGCCGTGGTGGTGTCCTCCCTGGGAAGGCAGTACCACTAGAGAGCTGCAGCACAAGAGAAGACCATCGCACGCTGGATCATTTATTTAAATGCTCTTTGTTTTTGTCTCAAAGCAAATAAAAACAATAAGCACATTCAACAAACTGTTTGTGATGATGTTCAAAACACGAAATTACATGAAAAAGTAGCCGAATATGTCTGAGATCATGGGGACAACTGAAAACAAAACAACACATACAAACAAAAAAGTGGCCTACAGTTTAGACAGCTGGGGACAAAAGCGCTGATAAAACGTAAAAACTGATGCATAATATTTTAACTCTTATCAACGGGTTCACAATATCACAAAACGTATTATTTAGAACATAATAATTAGTAACGTACAACGTATAATAATAATCAGCAACAACAACAATACAGTATAACAACAATAATAATATATTTTATTATTTATATGATTATATTATATAACAAAGTAGCATATATAATAATAACGATAACAATAATAATAAATTTATCTTTTTATTTATTGTGTATTTTCTATGTATTATTTTACTCATATTTAGCTTGTTTACTTATACACTGTCGCCCATAAAGTTGGAATGATTTTGTTTTCAGACAATCCTCTGTTTATTCCTATTTAAATGCATCAGTAATCACTTTTGACCAGTCGCAATGATTACATTATGTGTCCCAATTACCCAGGTGAAATGAAATTAATCACATTGTCACAATCACTTCATGGAAAGAGGTAAAAAATATTTTATTCCAACTTTATGAGCAACAGTGTATATACATCAACTCTTCTTCCAAGTGGAACAAGTTGCTCTCTTCCTTGTGGCAGCCGTTGCTGTGTCACTGGCTTCAGCATAATTTTGATAAAAACATTGCATTAGCCACAATTCAATATATTTACATATTAATTTCAACAATTGGGTTTCTGCCATGTTTTCTTTTATAAAACGTTGGGAAGATCTAAGAACTCTGCACATTGGTAAACTCACTCAACTTCATGTATCAGCATGCTTGCTGATAGAACAGAGATCATCGCAAAGGAGGCCAAAAACAAATGAGTTTTTTTTTTTTTTTTTGCATGTATGTATTTGTGTATTAAATGTAGAATGGGCTCGTGCTCGTCTCGTCATTTTCTCCTGCTGTTTATCGATATTTCTCAACTAGGGCCAAGTTTCTGTCCATCGACTAATCGTTGCAGCTCTGTCAAGTGTAAAGTGTAAAATTTGACTTGCTTGTTTTTGAGTGTTTGTGGTTCTAAACAGACTTTTAGAAAAAACTCCTCTGATATTTCATCTATATTCAAATAGCCTATAACACAAATCACCAGAAAAGAACCAGAGAACAAACTGTTTTGCGTTTCATTCATTTATTATTGAATTTGCAGAGTGAACTCATGCTGCAGTCTCCGTCATCTTCTGCTGTTTATCGGTATTTCTCAGCCAGGGCCAGAGCCAGACAAGCCAGGAACTTGTCCATAGACACATGGACCTCAGGGGTGAAGTCGTTGGGGAACATGATGGCCATGACCACAAGGATGTTGTGGGACAGAATCTGTGGGGAAAACGATAAATACACACATTACATTCAATGTTTTGCTCCCCACGTGCCCATCTACACACCTGTCACAGATTTTTGTTGTGACATTAACTCCAATCTTCATAAGTGAACGACCCTTGAACCGGAATGGAACAGCGTTGTCCACACTGTACAAAGGGACCTGTTGCGAGTTGAAAACCCCTCAAGGCCCTAAGTCTGAATATTAATGACAGGCTGTTAAATGTTAATGAGTCTGGATCTGCACCTTGAAATTGGCAGGGTCAATCCTCAAAGTGAAGGCATGCAGCTCACTGAGGTTCAGGAGACCTCCTTTCAGGTCGTCGATCTTGGTCACAGCATCAGCGACTCCAGACATCACGGTGATTCCGTGCTTCCTCACCGGGGCAGAGCCGGGGCTCAGGTCCTTCCAGTGGGCGAAGTAAGTCTTGGTCTGAGGGTACACGATCAGCATCCTGCGAAAAAGATGTAAGCGGATAAATGTGACTCAGTCAGTCTATGTTGGAGTGGGTTACACCAACAGTCATTATTATGTTCGGATATTTACCTGTTCAGAGCATCTTTGCCGATGTCCTCAGCCTTTCCAGACACTTTAGCCCAGAAGGCCCTGACGGTTTGCTTGTCCTTAGCAGTGAGACTGGTCATCTTGCCTGTAGATTGAGGTTTGCTGAATGTCTTGATCAGCTGAGACCGTGGGGGTTTTTATGCTTGAAACAGAGCGTGGGCACACCCAGCGCCTCCTCCTTCTCCAAGATATGTTGCAAGCGGCAATAGGTTACGTTACGTCAGGTCGTGGCCTCCAAGAGATAAACAGAAATCTTGTGATGGTGGCTCTACAGCTTCTTTGAATTACATCGCTTTACTTCTAAATGATACGATCTGTTCAAATGATCTTGCATTTTGGAAAAGGCCCCGAAGTCATCAACAGACGACTCGTGTCACCTGTAGCCTATACGCTCAGCAGCGGCTGATGGGTCTCTATTGCTGAAAATATATTTTAGATGTAGACCTACAGGCAGGTCAACTCAGCACTGGGAGCAGTTTATTTGATGCCTGGTACAGTTCAGTTTCACTCATGTCTTTGAATTTTATTCATGTGTACGAAATTAAAACATAAAAATCACAAAACACATTTTAAACTTAAATTGTAGCACAGCTCAGTAGGTTATATAACATGTTGTAGCCAACATTTAATTTCTCAATTGATGCACGACGAAATCGTTTTGAGCCCCTGTGAGACAGATTTTAGAGCCGCATACATGTAGGGATACATATGTATGTTATCATAAGGAAACACTTTTCCCAGATAATTTTTTTCTTATCGTTCATTTTCTCTAAGCTGAGCTACAATGAAGCTTTCATTCAACTAACATCAAAACATGTGGCCTATTTATTTATTTTATATAAATCAGATCAATCAACAGTCCGCATTCAAATTTAAAGACCGCTATCCGAGGTGCTGATCCTTGGACGTCCCACGGGAGGATGTGGGAGCTGTCCGAGGTGCTCGCTGTTGACTGCTGACTGGTTTTGCCGCTTCGGTATTTCACCTGTTACGGTGTCCATCTGTGTGCATATATCAGACTATGGCTCTGTCAAAAACTTGCGATCATTTAAATTGCCCGTTATGCCCATATGACCAAAACATACTGACACAAAGATGAAAAACTCTTGGCACCTGTTACCCATTGATTAATGGAAATCATTATTGGTCTGAAGCCTTTTGTATTACTTTGCATTGCTGAATGTGGTGGCTCTGAGGGGTGAGGTGTGTGTGTGTGTGGGGGGGGGGGGTTACTTTACGTACAGAGCTATTTTTTTCTGGGGAAACAATCTCAACGGTGCAGATACGCCCTTTTCTTATCATTGTTGCAAATCCACAACACAGCACTTGCCCGGCCCACCGCCCCTCCATTCGCACGCCTCTGGGAGGGGAGCAGAGCTGCTTTAAAAGTTGCATCTGGGGCCGGTGAGCACAGGATCTTCTGACCCGCACAGGAAAAACTTGAACCGGCAAAATGGTTGAATGGACAGACTTCGAGCGCGCCACTATCCAGGACATCTTCTCCAAGATGGACTATGATGACGTGGGCCCCGCTGCTCTCTCCAGGTGACACTTATTTCCTATTCTGCATGAATAATATTTAAGAAGTAACCTATTGTTAGTAACGTATGCACATGTTCATTTTCTCAGCGTATATTTCATCTCTTGATCTAACCCCGTGGCATTTATGTGTGTGACTCGTTCGCTCAGGTGCCTGGTTGTCTACCCCTGGACTCAGAGGTATTTCGGCGGATTTGGAAACCTCTACAACGCCACTGCCATCATCGCTAACCCTATGGTTGCAAACCACGGAAAGGTTGTCCTGCACGGTATGGACCGGGCTGTGAAGAATATGGACAACATCAAGGAGACCTACGCCGAGCTGAGCGTGCTGCACTCCGAGAAACTGCACGTGGACCCCGACAATTTCAAGGTATAAGGCCGGGGAGCTGTTGTCGCTGTTTTATCTACATTTTATGGTTTTTTGTTGGTGTTGTTGTTTTTCATCAGAATCGCCTCACCTTTTTTGTTGCTGCTGTTTTGTGATTCATGTTGTGTTGTGTTGCAGCTGCTGTCCGACTGCCTCACCATCGTGATTGCTGCTCGGATGGGTAATGACTTCACCGGTGATGTCCAGGCAGCTTTCCAGAAGTTCCTGGCCGTGGTGGTGTCCTCCCTGGGAAGGCAGTACCACTAGAGAGCTGCAGCACAAGAGAAGACCATCGCACGCTGGATCATTTATTTAAATGCTCTTTGTTTTTGTCTCAAAGCAAATAAAAACAATAAGCACATTCAACAATTTGCTTGTCTGTGATTCAACCAAACATAACTGTGAACATGAAAAATAACATTCACAACTGACCTTCAGACAGAGGAAAAACAGAGCTGATGAAACAGTGAACGGAGATTAAAAAAAGAGCAACATTCAAAACACAGATGAACTACTATGACTTGACATAGGTTAAATAGACCAATAAATAAATCATGTTTTTGATTATATTAATGTTAGTGTTGTTCTCCTCACAGAGGGGACATGTCTATCTACAGATTGATAGCTCCACAGAAGTGGTGGACAGAAATGTACACACTGATCTTTTCTACTTATGTTTTTGTCACAACGGTTTTTCTTTAAGTGTGTTCACGACCGCAAAGACTAGAAAATGAACAAATTAAAATTTAATCTCAAGAGAACTGCAACGATCGATTAGTCGATGGAAAGAAAATTAACTGGCAACTATTTTGAGACTCAATCATTTTAAGTTATTTTTCAGGCAAAGACACCAAACATTATCTTGTTCCAGGTTCTCCAGTGTGAGAACTGTTTGATTTTCTTTGTTTTATATAATTGTAAAGGAAATGTTGTTGGATAGTTTGTATGACAAAACGTAGCCTTACATTTGAAGACTTCTCAAGGGACTCTGGGAAATTTACCATCTGTGACATTTTTCACTTTTTTTCTGACATTTTATAGAATGAACGATTGATCAACAAAGTAAACGGCAGATGAATCAATAAACAATCATTTGCTACCTTACTTAAATTGAAACATATGGGGACAATGGAATAATAGGCTAATGATAATAATAATGATAATAATAAATCTTTTTCCTGGCTGGTTATAGTTGTCCCTTCTTACTCATTTTTAATATAACAAATAACTAGTGACATATAGGGAGTTAATTTAATACAATATTTTATTAAAACAATTTGACCAAAAATTTGTTTTTGAAATTTTATGGAAGTGTAAAAAAAAAAGAAAAAATAATGCAACTGTTTTATGTGTTTGTACTCTCTTTTGTTAAAAAATTGTCCCTTTTCATTGTCTTTGTATGTAACTATTATTTATTAATTTATCTGTTATTTATGTTGCCGATTAATCGTTCATTGTGTACAATGTCAGAAAAAAGTCAAAGATGGCAAAAATCACAAATTTCCCAGAGTCACGGGAGACGTCTTCAAATGTTATTTTTTGTCAGACATATTGTCCAAAGACATTCAGTTTACAATGATAGAAATCAGACAGTTCTCACACTGGAGAACCTGGAATCAAATAATGTCTGGAGATCTTAGCTTCAAAATTGTTAAAACAATTATCATTATCATAATAATTGCCAGCTAATTTTCTGTCCATCGACCAATCAATTAACCACGTGCAGTTCTGTTAATGTAAAATTTGACTCGCTTATTTTTAAGTCTTTGTGGTCGCTACTGAACAGACTTTAAAAACTTTGATGGCAATTCATCCGTATGCCCTATTCAAATATAACACGAATCACCAGAAAAGAACCAGAGAACAAACTGTTTTGCGTTTCATTCATTTATTATTGAATTTGCAGAGTGAACTCATGCTGCAGTCTCCGTCATCTTCTGCTGTTTATCGGTATTTCTCAGCCAGGGCCAGAGCCAGACAAGCCAGGAACTTGTCCATAGACACATGGACCTCAGGGGTGAAGTCGTTGGGGAACATGATGGCCATGACCACAAGGATGTTGTGGGACAGAATCTGTGGGGAAAACGATAAATACACACATTACATTCAATGTTTTGCTCCCCACGTGCCCATCTACACACCTGTCACAGATTTTTGTTGTGACATTAACTCCAATCTTCATAAGTGAACGACCCTTGAACCGGAATGGAACAGCGTTGTCCACACTGTACAAAGGCCCTAAGGCCCTAAGTCTGAATATTAATGACAGGCTGTTAAATGTTAATGAGTCTGGATCTGCACCTTGAAATTGGCAGGGTCAATCCTCAAAGTGAAGGCATGCAGCTCACTGAGGTTCAGGAGACCTCCTTTCAGGTCGTCGATCTTGGTCACAGCATCAGCGACTCCAGACATCACGGTGATTCCGTGCTTCCTCACCGGGGCAGAGCCGGGGCTCAGGTCCTTCCAGTGGGCGAAGTAAGTCTTGGTCTGAGGGTACACGATCAGCATCCTGCGAAAAAGATGTAAGCGGATAAATGTGACTCAGTCAGTCTATGTTGGAGTGGGTTACACCAACAGTCATTATTATGTTCGGATATTTACCTGTTCAGAGCATCTTTGCCGATGTCCTCAGCCTTTCCAGACACTTTAGCCCAGAAGGCCCTGACGGTTTGCTTGTCCTTAGCAGTGAGACTGGTCATCTTGTCTTTGTTTGACTATCTGCTGAATGCCGTGATCAGCGCAAACCGCGGGGATTTTATGCTTGAAACAGAGTGTGGGCACACCCGGGACCACCTCCAAGATAGGCTGCGTAAGGCGGTCCGAGTGATGGGCTGCAGCTTGCGTGAGATAAACAAAATTCTTCCCACGGTGCCTCTGGAACCAAACCTCATTTTACAGTAGTCAGTAATGATTACAGGTAAATATACATATATATATATGTGCCTATGTAATGTATATGTAGTGACTGGTGTAAATATTTCAGATGTAATTCTAAACGGGCAGGTCAAAGCATAAGGCAGCATATACTGTATCTCCATAAACAACTAGACCACATGATTTGCCAAACCTACCCTTTCAGAGATTACTCCAGAACAAACTACCACACAATTACAGGAATTATAGAGCTGAGTGTGTGGCTGCAGTTATTATTGTCAGGTTTGACCGACTGAAGCTTTTCCTCTG